TTCTTGAAAATTAATCAACCATCTTGGTACAACTATCAACAAAGATAGAAATACTGAAGCTGTATGTATAATTCTTGAAGGAAACCTCACCCCAAAGAATCAGTGTAGGTATTCTGAAAAATGAAATGTTTTCCTGCTCTTTGATGTAAAATATTCCTTATGAAAGTGCACAAGAAATATAAATGAAGATGTTCTTGGCATGATTGCCTTTTAGCATGGCATGAACGCAGCCATTTTCTTGAAATTGTGACGTACCAGGCAAAGTTGTCACATACCAAGCTTTAGTAAGACTTTTTAATTCAATAACAAATGATTTTCAATAAGGGTAAATCATACATGTAGCTGGAAGGATAATACTAAAATATAGCAGCTGACAAATATATTTAATTTATGTGAAATCCTCGTCACAGAAGAGCACCAACTTATTCATGCAATTTGCTTCTAGCAATTGTAGTACGAAGGATAAGAGCAGGTGAATGAAATACTTCATGACCACACACACCTGGAAAGGAAGCATCCATAAATGTTAATACATTTACTTGATAAACGACTTCGCTTAGTACGTCATGTTATCAAGAAAATGGTGATGCCCAAGTTATGCTGATAAACTGTACATTATTTTTGCTTTATGCCCATCTCATACACTTTAATGGGAAATCTTGTAGATTAATAGGAAAGAACAGCGAATCCCTAGAAACATTTAAAACCAGCGCTCAAAATACACGGGGGCGGTGGGCGATTCGCCCCCGTGAGCTACAAAATCGCCCCCGTCAGGTTGCTCACGGGGGCGATTGCAAAATTAAAAATCGCCCCGGTGGAATTATAAAATAAAGATAATCTTTTCTGTTATAACTTTAACACAATATTGAGTTTCAATTTTCAAACCTTAAACCAATGAAATGGAACTAAGATTAGCGTGCAAGATTTCTCGTTTTATGAGTAGGCCTATTATTACCGATTCAGCAGTGGTTATAGGCCTACTGCGCCGTTAGTAGCGGTGCGTGTGCACGCTGCCGCGCCATGTCTGCTGGAGCTGGAGGCGATCGGGCAAGGGCAGAAACATGGTCATGGCCTGGAGAAGTTTTTCGTTGTCAGCAAATAATGAACCTCGACCAGTAAATCAATATTAGGGACTTTTAGATTTGCACGATGAGAACGTGGACTGCAACGTGTGACCTCCTTTTAAGGCACTGCCAGTGCTTAAAAGGACATGTGATTGCCAGTGCCTCAAAAGGACGTAACACGCAAATCTAAAAGTCCCTTTTGAGGAGAAGAGGAAGACCAAAATGTCGTGGAATCGGGGGCGGCGATTTCTGTTAATGACCGGGGGGGACGAAATGCGATTTTTTTTTTTACGAGGATGTTATGCGAGGGAGCGTAGAGACCGAGCGAGATTTTTTGTGCAATTTTATTAGTCTAAACGCTGCACTCTTGGGCCTTCCAGAGCCTAAAAGTGTGTTGCAGTCATTATTCAGTATATGCTATACAATTTGTTTTGCACTTTTTCAAATTTCCAGGGGGGACGGACGACCCCCCCCCCCTAAAAAAATTGAGGGGGGGGGGGACGTGTCACCCCGTCCCCCCCCCCCCCGGGATCGCCGCCCCTGCGTGGAATTATATGATAACATGGGCAGATCTACGGCGGGGGGGGGGGGGGGGGGGGGTAGGGGGTTTAACCCCCTCCCCCCCCCCCCCCCCCCCCCGGCCCCCTTGGGCTACCAAGTGAAAATGTGATATTTAAGCGGGGGGGGGGGGGGGGGAGGGGGAGGGGGATTCTGGAGAGGAGGACTACTAATCTATTTTATTTTGTTCAGGGGGCGGGGGGAAGTGAAGCGCCGTTTTAGCATGACTTTCTTTTTAACTCTTACTTTCACCTATCTCAGATTACCCTAAGTTTTTGGTTGCTGCTTTATATGTAGTTGATAATGCATGATTAAAATAAAGAGAGAGAGAGAGAGAACCACCATCATTTTGCAATGGTTCAGGGTTCGTGTAATGTACATTTAAACCATTTCTTAGCGTCTCAATCCTAAAAAAATAGCAAAACTATTTTTGAGGAAAAGCATTATACTGAATTAAATAAAGAATAATAGCTTTATATTGGATCATACTAATACTAATATGGGCTAAAGACAATGTGGTATTTGTATAGAGGTATTCCAAAATGACATTCTGATAATCGTTATGATTTCTTAACGAGACATAGCTTCTTCTCCCTATGCAAACAAAACAGAAAACAAGGTTATTTAATAAAAGGACCATGCGACAAATAATCATTATGATTGAAATTGATGCAAGGATTTTTTTTTGAATATGCAATGCTTTTCACCAGAATCTTCTTTGTAAAAACGACTTTTACAAATCTCAGCCATGCAATTCTGCCACTGTGCTGTAAGATCACTTTGAGATTAGGAGAAGTGTATTATGTAATGGGTATTTTAAATTGAATGGAACGTCTCAACTCAGTAAGCATGGCTGAGATTTGTAAAAGTTGTTTTTACAAAAATGATTCGGGTGAATAATAGTGCTTATTCAAACAAATATTCGCATCAATTTGAATCACAATCATTATTTGTCGCTTAATCCCTTTTAATGACCATGTTTTCTTTTTCGTTTGCAAGGGGAGAAGAAGATATGTCACGTTAAAGACATCATAAAGATCAGTGTTGTATGCGTATATATTATATACACAGGCCACTGAGGCCAGTAACAGCTATGTAGCTTGTAAATTTGTAAGAGGGAAAATGCTGATTGGAATGATAATGATGAAATAGCAAATAATTGAGGAGTATCATAGGTACCAATTCAATGGATATTTGTATAAAAAAGAGCCCCCGTCAGTAATAAAAGAGCCCCCGTGAGAAGGCTCACGGGGGCTCTTTTTTCGGGGGAAGAGCCCCCGTGGACAAAAAATTAATTTGAGCCCTGTTTAAAACGAATCTAAAGTCATATATGTTCGCATGTTATTTTAGTTAATTATATGTTGAATGTACATCTATGCATTTTTTCTCCCCCCCTTCTCATTTCTCTATGTATCTCATTCTAATTCTATCCCTCTGCGCCTCAGAATAGTTTACTAGATCGATGGCGCATAATAAATGCTGTGTTATTATTATTATTATTAAAGTTATTGGGTGATGTTTCCTATACATGATTTTTTTTTTCTCTCTCTCCCTTTGAGAGATGGGTGTGTCTTCAATCAGAGAGTACATGTTCAGCCTCGTGTGAATTGTCATAACACCTTCATCAAAATGTAGGTTGCCTAGCAACTGTACCCAACCCCATTGTTTGAGAGTGAGTGGTCGCGATGCATGCATTCAATGCAGAAAATTAATAAACTCAAGAGACGCGTGTTAATGCAAAGGTATGCATAGCTCGAGATCTCCTGGCAGTGAGCTACCATCAGAGGGGGTAGTTATTCTCATCATTTATCCTGTTGAGACCATGTTGAAAAACCCATCACAGATATTTTCAAATGACTCTCTTATGCTGCAATGCATTACATTTTGAAGTGAGCCACAGAAATAGGATCAATTAGGGTCATCAATAATCAAATTTAGTAATTACCGGTAAATACAAAAAAAAACTTCCTGAAAGTACAGTAGTCTGTTAAATTTTACTGTAGTAAATATGCATTACCATGCTAATCTGAGTAGCGTGATAATAATAAAAGTTGATTAGTACATTGATAAAATTAAATAAAATCCATTACTAAAGAATTATGAAGCGTTATTTACATACATGTACATGATGAATTATCAACAGTGATATGAATTTAGCCCAAAAAACATAATGAAAACTATTTTTTTTTTAATGACAAAAAAATATGCTTTATGACAGACATACATGTAGAACAACAGGGAGAGAAAGAAAAAAAAAGCAGAGAAAAAATAAACACAAACAGAGAAAGGAAAAATGCAATTAATGAACAACACAGAACATTTACAGAACAAGGGAATACAAATCAGAGAAGATTAAACAGAGAGACAAACAAACAAATAACAGACAACACAAATGCCCAAAACAACTTGAAACAAGAAATGACACAAATCAAAAGAAAAACCATAGTGGGCACTGGGACGAATAACATCAAATTTTGATTTTTGAGAGATCAATTCCTTTAATTGTTTATTCATTCCTTAATTAATATTCTATTTCCTTTGTGGTGGAAGCGGAGGTTCAGGGAAGACTACACTTTTGACAAGAGGAGAGAAACTATTTTGAGACAAAATGTGAGTGATTAATTACTTTTGGTTAGGGGAGAAATATTAAAGTAAGCGACAAGTAATAAATATTTTTCATTACAAGAGACACAAATAATGTATTTTTCTAGAATGGAGAGATATATAATAGTGTGATCGTCAAGTAATTTACTTTTGCTGATAAAAAGATAAACGAATAGGGGTGCACTTAGTGACATCGTGGATGCAGCACTGTAAATCCAAATATCTTCAACACTAGTGACAAGTACAGTCAAACCTGCTTTAGTGACCACCCATATAGAAAGACCACCTGTCTACAAGGACCACATGTTTTGTTTCCCTAGAAAATGGTTTCTTATTGAAACATATACTAAAGGAACCTGTACATAAAAACCACCTGCCTATGAAAACCACTTTTCTTGTCTCCGTTGGGTGGTCTTTATGCTTCTAAGGTGATCTTTAGTGAGAAAGACAAATAATTTGGTTGACAAAGAAATGTTAGTGTGCACGGAAAGAATTGTATTTTTCAAGACTCAGACTCACCGAGATAATTTTTGTCATCATCTTTAATAGTTAGAGAGACAAATAGTTCTGGGCCCCGTCTTACATAGAGTTGATATTAATCGCAACTACATGTATGTACCGGTACATAAGAGATAAGAGACTGCAAACTTGCGGTTGATTGGAGGACTTATGATTGATTTGGATCAATCGCAACTCTTTGTAAGACAGGGCTCTGGTTAAGGGAGAGATACTGTTAGTGTGCATGAAAAGAATACAGTGTTTTTCTCGACTCACCCAAATCATTTTTGTCATCATCTTTGAGTGCCTGGTTCTCATAATCAGTATCTGACGCCCCATCACTCAGCTCATAACCACTCGCTCGGTCCCACGCCTTCAAAGCTTTGTTTGGTGTCCTGTAATTCTCATTCCGACCTAGCACCAAGCAATGTGTGTGTGTGTGTGTGTGGTTAGTTCACACAGATTGAAAAGATGTGTACAGGAGCAAAGGAGGAGGAGGATTATCAACTAGAACACCATTATAGCATAACAATCCCAGTCCAATTCTAGCTGTGCAGAATAGAACTTTTTTTTTATCTTCTAAAGCTGCAGGCAAATAATAACTGAAAAATGCTGTCAGAATGTCATCACTTTATTAAAGCAATGGAGTTGTGGCTACATGTAAAGTGTATGTTAAACAAGCCACTGGCACTAGTCAAAGCATGCATACATTTGCACATGAACTACCAGGTAGTCTATTGTTGCACCACAAAGTCATGGTTCTAGCAGTCAACTACTGTATAATTGCCTGAAACTTTAAGAAAATGGTATTCTGATAGAAACTATACATGAAATAGATCAGGTGGTGTGCATTGGTGCATTATCAGAGACAACCTCAAGGAAAGAAAATTTTAGATGCTGAACAGGCATAGACTTGGTTCCTTCATTTTTATTTTTATTTGTTCATATTTTGTTTGTTATAGTTCAAATGGTCCCCCAGAGTGGCCTATGGTAGAGTGAATGTGCAGTGACATAGTACACAAGTCACAAGCAATTCAAACTCAACAAGCTCACAATAGTCGAACACAATGCAACAAAAAGATTTGAAGTATTTACAAATAAACTTAATTATAGCAGGATGAAAACAGAGAGACAAAAGAATACAGTAAATAGGCCAACATACCTCTAATAGGCAGAGTTTGTGGTTGAATTATGAAACATGCTACAGTGACAATTACTCTGGCAACAATTTTTAACACTCTACTTCAAATCTTGACCTAACACAATAGGAAATCCTTTATCTCATCTGGTAAAATCCCAACTAAAAGTAAGTCCTAACCCCAAATCGTCAACAAAATTAAGGAGCAACTATTTCCAATGTCAGACCACTCAATAGGTTGCCTAAGGTTGATCTGCAAGTTTATGTTTAAGTGCGAAAGCTTACCTGTGTAATAGCCATAGTGCTTGAGATGATTCCTCATAAAACTCTCATAAGGATTCTGAAAAGAAGAATATTTACGATTCATAAAGCTGTTGGAAAGCATGCATGGATTGCATGGCATGATGACTTGCTGAGTAATACCCCCCTCATGGGCAATGTTATTACATGCTAATTGTAATTGTCAGTCCATTTCATTTTTAGTGTACCTCCATCAAATCAGATTTGTTTCCATTATTTTGAGTCTGGTTTATTTCACATTTTTTTTACTTAAATGTTTCTCCAATGTTTTTGTTTTGGGTTTCTATTTCTACTTGGGCCAATTTTTGTATAAAAGTTCAATTCTCCTTTTTTTTAAATCACATTTTCTATCTATGGCACCCTCATTGATCAGAGAAAAGCCATATTTCAAAATATCAAAATTTAACCATCTATTGCATGTACTTACGAGATCATATTCAAAACTCCTGCCAGTGGTTCCCTGTAGAAACGACATGATGATTGGTTTCCTGCACTACTGCTGATTCTCCCCTCTTTATAAATGGAGGAGTTCTCTCAGTAACAGCCAATCATAATCTCTACATCATGGAAGACACGCCAAGAATGGTCCCAGCTCAGATCCAGTCATTCCAAGCTGAAAAATAAATGCAATTCTGTGGTGGAGTAGATGGTAAGATGGAGTGCTGCACTGTGTCACTACCACTGGTTTATGAAGGATGAAATGAGCTTATTTTGAAGATGGGTGTTTGGATTCCATGGTAAGATTTACCTGAGTAGTGGAGAAAGAAACAAAATGAAAATCCTTTAATACTAATCAACAACATAATACAAAATAAAATTACAACTTTCATAAAATAAATGCACAACATTACAGTGTATAGGGTTAATTAATCTTGTATTTTTACACCGACACTCGGTGAAAGACATTTTTACACTATTCATTATCATCCCTCTTTTTAAACAGCCCCCTTAAAGGGATCCGGTAACTTTGTCTCAGATTCTGAAATAAAATTCTGGATTTAGCTCATGCTGCAATAATTATAATCCTCTAGGTCAGTCAGGAACCCGATGACTTTTACAAGCCGATCACCTGTCTGACTATGAAGATATTTATGATTGGAAATCGAATCCAAATTTTGCGTTTGACATACGGTTTTCACAACACTACAGTCTATTGGGGAAAACGAGTATGGTAAAACCGGTCACTCAAAGACCTTTACTTTTTTGAGGCACTTCTTGATCATTTAGAAGCATGATTTTTTTAGGGGGGCTTCAATATTACACCATATCACAGACACTAATAACACGTAGGGGCGTGCATCTCAGATTTAACATTGTTAAACGATGCCTTTAAAGGCATTTTTTTTTTTTAATCATTTAACCGAAAACTGTCCAGTTTCGACTGGCGGTTAAACAAAATTGGAGATATCTGTGATGTTACAACACAATACTTGTCATGCTTGTATCTTTCCTCTGCTAAGATCAGAGATCGTCGGCACTGTGAGTCTGCCGAAGTTCCATAAATGTTTTTCTATAGGTCGTTGAAGTAGATTTTGACAGGTTTTTTGCATGAAGATTGAGTATAAAATAATATAGGATTTTTTTAGTGTATTAATATGCAGCTGTGTTTTGGCACTATTGCTGATGCATCCAGGAGGGGGAAAAAGCACCGACTCCAAGAACAGCGCAGGGACAGACTCGAAGTATTGTTCAAACTGTTTTGTGTTCAGGTTACCCTTAATATTGCACAGATGCTAGGGCTGGGCAAGTTACAACAAGGTGCTCAACATCCTCTCGCTCTACCTGATAAGGCTAAGACTGGAAATCTTCTTTTTGAGAGCAGATTTCCTCAAAATTGTATTTTTTGTAAGTAAAAGTGATACCAACTGATTTTATATTTTGCCGTGCAAATTATGATCATGATGGTGTTTTTGATAGATCACATTTTTTGATCAATCAGCTGTTGTTAACCCCCTGTGCGCAAAGTATGGTCTTGTTGTTTTATGACTTTTTTAGTTGCAGTGCACACACCAATCCGACATCAAATTTTTATTTAATATCGCAATATTTCTGGAATCCTTTGACGATAAATTTTCAAGATCTAGTTGAACCAATTTGTATTAAAAAACGTTGCCATCCATGTGGTTATATAATAGGGTTTAGATGTAGATCTAGATCTTATTAAAATGAATAAATTTGTGTAAAATATGAGAAACCATAGATCGAAAATCACATGCTCTTATATTTTCAAAATCTCCAGCTCCACAAACTTTGTCTTCTTTGCCTTGGCTTTGGTCACCCAATTCAAACACATCAACAAAGTGAACAAACTACCTAGATCTAGATCTAGATCTAGTACAAAGTCAATAATAATAGAGACTAGACTTGTCACCGACACTATTCTTGGCTCTTGGCTTGCTATGCCTCATTGACATCATTAGGCCAGGCTAAGGCTAAACTTAGCAAGTGGTCTTATTTTTAGGGTCTATCAGGCGAGGACGCAGGTTCGAACTGAGTCAAGTCTTTCTGATGGTGAAGTTTAAAGGTCGGTCCTCAGAGGGCCAGACGTAATTGAATAATTCTCTAAAAAATAAAAAAAATGATCCGATTAATCACTTGTCTGTAAAAACCCGGGCAACACACACACACACACACAATGTGGCAAAGTCACAGAGACAGCGTGTACGTGTGCCAGCGTCGAGGTTCTAACTTTTTTGTTGAAAAGAAAATACTAATAAAGTTATCTGACTAACTGTCCTCTCTACTCTAGACCCGTCTAGGACTAGGGCTAGGCGCTAGACCTCGTTCTCGGTTCGTGCCTGGCCTAGCTAGCAGCGGTCCCCCGGAACTCTGGCAACACAATCTGTCAGCGAACCTAGCAACCTCCGACGCCTTGCAAATCAACTGCAAGTTGCAGTGTCGTGCAACTTGAGCTGAGCTGTGCCTGACATTTTAGCGACAAAACTATCTTGATTTAGTTCATTTTAGCTGACAGCTGAAATCGACAAAATTACAGTATTCACAAATAATTGATACAAATTACTTACGGTTTTGTTCCGCTATCCCATCTATCTGTTATTTCACTCTCAAAGTCAAAATTCGTTCAACACTAGCGCCTCCTGTACTGTAATTAATGGGCCAAAGTCGAGTTTGATGGACGATTCTACTTATCTAAGAGGGGTAGGGGTACAGGAAAATAAAGTTAGCTGATTCTTTTATCTGAAAAGACCTTTGCAAATTCAGTTTATGATTAACTGATACTTATAATTTTAAACTTTTAAGTATATTCAAATTCAAATTGTTACTATTTATGTGATATTTTTGTGTAAAAGTAGACAAAGTTTTCAAAAGGGTAATAAACTGAGCCCCATAGGCTAATTGGATTAATCTCTAAAAAAAATAGCGCCCCCTTTCGTCCGGAACAAAATCTCTTCGTCTTTGGTCTTGATCGGAAGTCGAGAAACAACCGCGACCATGGTATAAAACTCACTATTTTATCATGTACACAATGAAAAACATGTAAATAATTATATGTAACATGTAATTCAATCATATGAGTTCTCTACTAAGTATAAGATTAGAATATTATCAGCGTGATGTTAGAGATTGTAAGAGATTTGCATGTTCAACCACTGTGACGTCGTTTCTTCCAAGTGTAGTCCCGAACGTTGACATTTTTGATGTAACGATGGGCACTAGCTTTGTATTGAGGAGTAAACTCGCATTCAAAAAGTTGAGCCCTTGGATAATTCTCATGTTAATCAGTTACATTAATGGTGATCGATGTCTTCGAATATTTAACATACCAGTTACAAATTTTGAGCAATTATAAGTTGAGTCGAGGACAAATGCAAGACAGGTGCAGACAATTTGTAATCCGGACATGGACTTCGTACCCGACCCGCATTCATAATCATAGTCGTACTGTAACTTGTTGGAGATCTAGTTCTAGTCGTACTCGTAGTGGTGTTGGCAGAGTCTGAATTCTGAAAGGCGTGGTGACAATACAAATTATATAATGGCATCCATTTGTGCCTGCATGCACGTTGAGTGATGTAAAGAAATGTGAAAGTCTAAAGGCTTGATGACATCGGCATGAATGTGCGCATGACGCGTAATGTGGGCGCTGTTCCGAGAATAATTAGGAACATCCGCACAAACGTAAAAAGATACGTTCGCGAAAAATAAGGATCATCCTCATTTGCGCTGATGATTCTGATTTTCCAATTCGCGTGTTGGCGATGTTAAAAATGGAATCCTGCGATGATTTTCTTGATGCATTTTATTTTTACATTGACTTTGTACCAAGACTTTCACGTTACGAGCAATAAATCCTTGGGAAGACTGACAACCAATAAAAGTAGACGGTGAACTGGGGGTATTTTATCACGCGAAATCCATTCTTTGCGGATTCCGTTTTCCGCATCTCCAGCGCGCAGATCGGGAACCTGAAACCTGCAAAGCCCTGAAAAAAATGTGGACAATTTTTATTTTTTCGGACGCATTTTGCCTGCTTATAGACCCTACGAGGATATATCCTCGTTTATGCAGACGATCCTCATTCTCGTACCAGCGCCCCTACTTGTGTATGACTGACTGTAGTGGTCTGTACGTCATTGCCCATTCCCGCACATGACAAACTTTGCTTTTTGTGGACCCTTATTTCTACTCGTACAAAGCACTTTATAGTCTGTGAAGAATGTAACCAAAAAGGTGGCAATTTATTACTGGAATGATCAATGATGGTGCTTTATGTATCTTCCACATGTTTTATGATGATTTGGAATATTATGAGCTAACATGCAATTTATTTGACAAAACCAAGTCAAAAGCGCTGACCCCCGAGTCTGTTGAGAGTATGCCAAGTTGGTTCCATTTAAAACGCAAATAGAGATATGGAATGCGAAAATGCCTGATTTTGCGATGTCAACTTTGGTGTAAAAAATACTTTTCAGTTTGCGGGAGCTCTTTTTCCATTTACCAGAGCACTTCTGGAGCTTCCGAAAGGGCTCACTGCTCCCATGTTGTTGTTTTTTCACTGATAGGAAACAATGCAGATACTACAAAATTAGTAGGCCCTCCTTTTGATTCATGGCCTTGGTTTTGTATTTACTTTATTAAGTTTAAATAAGCCCATATTTATTGACATCTACTGCTGGAGAGAGATTAACATTGAAGCAAACCTTGTAGTTGTAAATTGATTTCTGTTTTTTGTTTGTCTCCTTCTACAGCCTTCCCACAAGACATTCAAAATCAAGCAGAAGCTTGCTAAGAAGCAAAAGCAGAATCGCCCCATCCCACAGTGGGTGCGTCTCAGGACAGGCAACAGGATTCGGTAAGTCAATCAAACCTTCACCGTCTGCACTTTGTCTCCCATACCTGATCTGTACCGTGTCAGTAAGGCAATAGATGGGGTGGTTGGAGGGTGGGGGGGGGGGGGGGGGGTCAATAGTGCACAGCTTCAAGGTGGTAGAGGCAATTTTGCTATAATATAGCTGACTTAGTGAAAAACACCATTTGAAGAGAAAAGGAAAGGATTTATAAAAGCGGTGAACTCTGATAAAAGTTGGTTAAGAGTTGAGAGAGAAATAAATTCAGTCTTGAAAATAATGTGCTTCCTGTTTCAAATCCCAACCTTTTTTTGGAGGATTTGTTACTAATTGTTACCAGAAAATAGTAAAGCTTCTCTACGCATCTTTTTTCTAGGATTTCCATTTGACTTCAAACAGATAGTTGTGTTACTCTTTTTATTCCTATTTGCTAGTAATTTGAGAATATGTTGCAAAATTGCATTTTCCCAAGTCAATTTAGCTCACATTCTTCATGTAGAGTTGGTGGCAAAGTATAGAATAGATTGTGTAAGAAATGATGATTTTGTTTTGTTTATGTCTCTACAGCTACAACGCCAAGAGACGTCACTGGAAGCGAACGAAGCTGAACTTCTAGGATGTTCTGATCAACGGACTGTTCTTTCTCTTCACATGGACAAACTCTAAGCAAGCATCAGCCCAGACTCAGGGCAACCGTCACATCTTGCTCAGAACAGAACATCACATGAGTACTCATGATGAGTTGATGGAAAGCATAGTTCACTAAAATTCAAACTTTGCAGATAATTATGATCACTTTCGCAAGATGGTGTTTAAAAGGCTCCTGGTTTTTCGCTACTTGGTCGTCGTCATCGTCGTCATCATCATCACCGGAACCCTCCAGCTCTGGAAATCTGGATTTGAATCAGGAAGTTTATTTGAAGCCCGTCCTGCGTGACCTGGTCATGTTTGTCAATAAATGTTTCTTCATGTGAAGAGGATATCAAACTTGCAGCTCTTTCATTATTTATTCACATTTTTTCTTTGTTTCTCTTACAGTGGAAACTTGTTATAAATTGCTTTGATGTTACAAGAAACCTGATATAACAGGTAATTTTATGGTCTCAAAGGCCTTCTTATAGCGAGTTTCCACTGTATTCTCATTCTGTTCCGATGAGAGTGAAATGTTTGTACGAGTGTATTGGGGAAGACCCAGCTAGTGAATATTTAAATGTGACTCTGTGAATGCAAGGAGGCATCTTGATTCTGGAAGAGATTTGTAATGTGTTGCTGTTGAGGACTGTATTCCTATCATAACAGATCGCATGTTAGATGTTCAAAGGAATGCATTTGTTTGGATTCTTGCTTTTTCCATGCTCTAAATTATCTGTTACCAATTGAAAATATCTGATCTGTAATTGTAGAAATATTGGAAATTTGGTTGGAAATGGAAATTAAGATTTGGGCCCCTTTGTATGAAAAAGTTAATATTGATTTGAATCGATCACAATTCCTATATCTTTGATACACAGTTGCAATTACTGTAATACAAAGTTGTGATTCATTGGAATCATTCACAACTTTCAAATGGGAGCCCTTAATTTAAGTGAGAAATGATGATGATGAAGTGCTTAATGATCACGAACATGAAACTTTTCTCGGTATACCGGTAGCTCATTATACAGTGTGTGAGAACCGAGATGGGAGAACTGAGAAATTGTGCGTCAAATTAAAGTTTTGTGCTGTGGGTGCCTCCATTTGATTTGAGATGTATAGTATGGTCCTATAAAAAAGAAAAGAAATTTTTAACCGAAATGTCTGTGAGAAAAGCTATAGAGCAACAGGACGCTCCTACATTATTGACCATAGAGTAGCTCTAAACAATGCTAGGTTAAAGATAAACTGGAGTTCTGGTAAAAAAAGAAAATTAATTCTCACAGAATCTAACAAAACACACACTGAATGTTCAAGATTACAAATAAATGTCATGTGCCAAACAATTTTGGAAGAAAATTTATACTGGCTGAGTAATGAGCATAGAAAGATAAGGAAATCAGGGTAGTACTAGCCCCGACACCATGTGTGTTGTCCCATATACATCTTTCTGTGTAAGTGATTGTTACTTTACCAAGACTCGGCCAAATTTATGATGATTTTGATGACTCAAGAACCTTGCATTACACACCATTACTTACATGCTATATGATCAACTTTTCTGAATCCATTCCACACCTTTTCTTTCACAATGCAATTGCATTACCAGAACTCAAGTTTATCTTTACTGCTTGACAACACTGGACAAGTTCATAATAATGCAAGCTATGAAACACTCACCTGACTGTGAGACTTAGTAGGAGTTCCTTTAGCTTAGAGAGAAAGGATGAAGTGACTGCTGTGCATATGTGCAGGAGTAATATTCATCGTATGGTAACAAAATGGGTCTCTTGCAATGAAAGGGATTATGTGTAATTAGTCTCTTTCCTCATATTCTTTTCTTTTTCCTCTTCCCCTTTTCCTCCCTAGCCCTCTCTCACTCCCACTCTCTCTCCCTCTACAATTCTCTTTCTCTAGCCCTCTCACTCTCATTTTCTCTCTTCCCCTCTCTCTTTCCTTCTCCCTTTATAATTCTTTCTTTCCCTTCCTAGGCCTCTCTCACGCCCATTTCCCCCCTCTTTCCTTCTCCCTCTATCATTTCTCTCCCTCCCTCTCTTGCCCTCTCCTTTCCCTCTATAATTCTCTATTTCTCTTTCTGAAGCCCCCCCCCCCCCTCTCTCTCTCTCTCTCTCTCTCTCTCTCTCCTGGTCTTGTGCACATGCACAATGTTTCCCCTTTCGTGACCGTTGGTTATCATGAAATTACTCCCTTTTTTATAACTCCCATTCATTGTTCTTTCTCTGCTTACATTCCTCAGCAGAAACCAAACATACATCAAAATTTCCCCTTGTAAGTCCATGGTTAAATCAATCTTGTTGTCAATAAAATAAAAATAAATAAAATAAGAAGGAAAAAAAACAGAGTTATGGCACACTTACTCATAACTAAATAAATGCAGTAGCTTATTTCCATTGATTTCGAATTCAAGCAAAGAAACTACTAGGTCTTGGTCAAGAGCATGTGAAATCAATGATAACCATACTGTGTTAAAGAATATCGGTACAAATACATGTACAACAAAATGCAGAATTTCACACTGAACAACTCTACAATTAATTGACACACAGTATCTGAATTGAAACAATGATTCATGTTGCTTTGATTAAAACCTACTTTTATTTCATAATATACCACATACATATATAACATGATATTTTTTCCCATCAAAATTAACATTTTACAAAAGCTTGTATGATAATCATGACAATTTTTAATGAAATTTATAAGATATATGGTTATATACAAGTATACAGATATCATCTCCTGCGCTGACTAAATCATTACTAAACTTGTATAAGAGTCGTATTGACACAAATACATGCATAAAGTGAATCATTTTCATAATGACCAATCATTGACATAATTACATGTATAAATTTCAAATCACATAGAAATATAAAAATTGAATTCAAATCTTCTAAAAAAAAAAACCCGTACATCTTCTTAATATGCAGCATGTAATTTATTATTTCCAAGTATTCAAATATAATCATAACAGTGATTTCTTCTTTTCATTTAAAAAAAATCTAGCTTAGCGTCCAGGGTGTTGTTAGAGCAGGCGGGTATGCGTAAATAAAACCTGCTCTCTAAATCTTGATTCAGAGAATGGCCCAAGCTTCCATTGCTTCAGGGAATCCGTAATAACCGATACCCCCCCCCCCCCCCTCAACAAAAGAGGCTTCTTTTTTAATAAGAAAGCAGTAAGAATTATAAAGTTGTAAGGAAATTTTAATGAAGACACTTCACCCATAGGAAGTGATTTAGCAAAGCACCTGAGCAACTTCTTCAACTAAATGAACATTTAAAATCTACATGTACAAGAAAATGTTATTACATCAAGAAGAAGAATTCTCACATAACAGCTTTAAGCTCTATTTGGTCCTACTGACCGTTTGACCATACCTGATGCATGATGGGAAATACAATTTATATTTCATTTTGATTTCAATTCAATTGATCAGGCAGGTAATTGTATGGCTAAATCAAAAATATAAAAAAGAAAAGTCAGGAAAAAGGGGGGCATATCTTCACAATATTTTTTCACTACACTACTGGTAATCATTTCTTTCAATCATGCAAAACTGAACATATTTATTCTCAGTTTAACATGCTTTTAGGCAAGTGAAACTGAGTGAATATATTCTGAAAAGTTGTATTTCATGTCTTTTTTTTAATAGTACTGATCAGCTTAATTCAATAAACATTACACTCAGGTGCTACAAGGGCAAGGAGTCAAATCAGTTTGGCAATATTACAAAGAGTGGAAAAACATCTTTAGAATGTGTTCATGTATCATTTTCAACTACTTTGAGCAAGTATTGAACAACCAAAACCACTCAGAAAACATGACTGAATATGGATTTGTGTTCCCAATACGGATTTTATCACATTAAGTTTGGGCGAAAAAGGTGTAATCACAGATGATCACAGTACAGGTGCAGAAATTTTACCTGTTATGGAGTTTGTACAATGAATTGGGAGATCATTATTTCAAGCTTATTAACATACAATAAAGCCTTGTACAGATATGAGTTGGTGAACCAGTGTAGTTGTTTTTTAAACAATGATGTAAGTGTGATGCGCTTCACGATTTTGTATCTTATAATACAGAGCTAATTGAATACTTGTAAGACCTTTGTCAATTTGTGTCCATTCATTTACAAGTAATGTTTATTTTTAAACGCTATGGTTTATCGCTTCATATCCTTAAAACTTGACTTTTGCCAATTGTCTAGTGATTATTTTCTTTCGACACAACAAATTATATGAGACTGACTAATTTCTTTAGGGATATTAACATTTTACTTGATTTGAGTGATTTTTCTTGAATCCCTGACTATTCCCTGCCTGGAAAAAGTGGAACACATTGACCAGGGGCCCGTTTCACAAAGCCTTTCCTCAATGACAAATGAAAAAATATCAATGACAAATCTGCTGATAACCAATCAGAATCAAGAATTTCAGTAGCTTATAACAATAACTGTCATTTGTCACTGATGACAAGTTTTGTGAAACGCCCCCAGGTTTTCCCTGGTTTCCAGGATAGCTAAGAACCGTTTAGCTTCTTCATGTGCTCCCATTGCTATCTTTGGTTTGGTTTGGTTTGCCCGAGTGTTGCTGCTTGAGAGATGCTTGTTAGAGCTTGGGTTTGTCTTCTGGGTTGAGTTCAACTACAATCTTACCTTCACTCTTCTTGGAGTATAGGTACTGTGAGAGAGAGAGAGAGAGAGAGAGAGAAAGAGAGAGAGAGGGGAGAGAGAGGGGGAGGGAGAGAGAGAGGAGAGGGGGGAGAGAGAGAGACAGACAGACAGACAGAGAAAGAGAGAGAGGAGGGGATGGAGGAAGGGGAGAGGGGGAAGAAGGGAGAGGGGGAGGGAGGGAGAGAGAGAGAGAGAGAGAGAGAAACAAAAGACAGAGAGTGAGGAAATGTGAGGCACAACAAAAGTCAGAATAAGAGAAGGATTTAATGGATAAATAAAGATAGAAAATAGGAAGAAATAAAAGAGGAGAGATGAGGTATTTAAAACAATTGATTTCCTATTTCTTGCAGAGAAATTATAACAAGCTAAATCTAAACTGCTGTATTTTCCATCGTATAATTTGTGCAGGTATATGAGAGCATGATATACAACATTTTTCATATTTCTCTTTCCAGATGAGTGCATTAATTTTCGAGACTTTTAATTCATTAATTTTTCAATATAAATTCATAACAGAATTTCAATCAGAGCCAAGTTAAGACACTGTAAATCTCCACCAATAGGTGAACCATTATGGAGTGATATTGTGGCACCCCCAACTAACCCCATCTACAGCATTGTAAACTGCCCAAAGTCCCTTCAACGGTCCCTTGGGATCATGTTTGCCTCGTTCATAATCACCCTCCCAATATTCTACAAAGCTGATACTATAGCGCCCTCTATACTTACATCAACAGCGTCATAGACGGCTTCCAGACCTGTGAACGGTCCCTTAGGGTCATGTTTGCCCTGGTCATATGCGACCTTGAGTTGACCTCCCATGAGAAGCTGGGTCAGGTTGGTCAAGGATCGCTTCCAGAGGTCAGCAAAGTGGAAGAGAAGGAACCCCCGGATAGACGCAGACTTCTGGAGCACCTGATGGACAGAGAATAGACAAACATTCTAACTTATCATGCATCCATTGCGCATAGACACTATTAATGGGGAAAACCACCCTAACACCAAGTTGATTTGAATTACAACAGTAAAAATCAGAGAAACTTTTCCTTGATCATGAGTATGAAATGAAAGAAGAATTGGTTGCAAAGGAATAATATTCATATCTTATGAAAGAGTTTTATTAGGATGGTTGAAATAATGGCTTGAAAGTTCTTGTATGACATCCAAAAGTAAAACCTGCAAAAATTTCAGAGTCTAGATGCGAATTGGCAGACTTCAGTATGCTGCCAATTTTCTGATGGCCAGTGGTTGTCATTTTGGCGATGACTGCCTCGTATATGTCATATTCATATCTCCTAGCTTTAATCACACTTTTTCAAACCCTTGTCGATACACTTCTTTGGTTTTCTATTCCGTATTTCAATCATTCAATCAATGTATGATGTCTGTATCATTATTGGCCTCTGGTTATTTGACTCGGGTTTAATCTCTGGAATACTGTAAATCATTGAACTTACTATTCCAGCCCATGATCCTTCATTCTTTGGAGCAAGAGCGCCCTCTTTCTGATAGCTCTCAATGAAGCCAATCACAATGATTCGCCCCTTGTTCGCCAAGCTGACAAATAAGAAATATAAAAGGCAAATTAGACAAGGTATAGCGGTGACTGTCTGTCTGTTACAATTTATATACGGACATATCATTCTGCTTCAGCTTTTCAATAATTAGTTTCCCCTCATTCTAAAAATAATGAGGGACAAAATGAATACACGATAGAGTATTGTCAGACCTGAATATTGATTGATTAATTAATAGCAAATTTCAAAACTTTTTGAGATAGAGCATCAGTGAATAAACAGACAGGGCTAAAGGGGATAAGCATCTTTTAACATCAGCTAAAGAAAAACAAACCAAAAAATAAAGAATCAACTAACCAACAAGTCAACCAAACAGCCAATCAACCAAAACAAAATCATTGAAAACATGGAAATCTTGGATAATAATTTGACATAAAGGTAATGCCAAAAATTGTCTTTTGAAACATACGGAGTGTTTTCATCATACAAACACTGTAGGGCAATGTGTGCTATACAAAGTATGTCTTTTCTCCAGTATGTTATTTCATCCAAATATGTAAATTATCATGATATGACCATTTAATAATAATAGCGATATCAGAAATAATCATTAGAAAATGGTCTTAAAGATAAGTTTGATTTAAGGTAATGATAACAAATATATTCTCACAGAATCCAACAAAACTTACATTGAATGTTCAAGATTACAAATTAATGACATGTGCCTAACAATTTTGGTAGAAAATGTATAGGGGCTGAGTAATGAGCATAGAAAAACATGGAAATCAAGGTAAGTAGGCCCAACACCATGTGCTTAACACAGGTCCCTATGTGCAAATGAGTGTTGTGGTTTTTATTAGAGATGATTTCCAGCAAGTTTTTGTTGGTTTTTTATTTTATTCATCTACTGCAGGATAAACAATCCAGAATGAATTACAGCCATATTCTCTCAAAATATGTTGCCCATACCAAAGCTCAAGAATTGCTTTAATCAAGAGATTAATTTATCATATATCATGCATTGCACAGAATCGCCCCATGATGAATGCAAGAACTAGACTCAATATCAGAATGTATACTTACGACTTCAGACAGGTAGAGAACATCTCCCCTCCGATGGTTTCATAGACGACGTCTATACCTTGCTGTAAAAGTTTTAAAAATTGATATTTGTAAGTATTGTCCCTAAACATTTAGACAGTGCTACTTTACCACATCAACTTATGAAGAGCTTGAATGAATCATGAAATAACAAGAAAATAACTGGCAATAAGGGCTATGATTTATTGCTTCACTTCCTATATCTTTTCTTGAACTCTTTGCCTGTCTCTTATTTCTTTACTTTTCATTCATTCACTCTCTTTCTCTGTTCTTCTCCTCTTTCTGTTACTTTGTCTTCCCCTCTGGATCTAGCTCTACTTTTCTCTTTGTTTCACTGTTTGTATATCAATTACTAAAATCCTCGCTTCTTTCTTTTTGGTCTATTCTTTTCTATCAATTTTTATGAAATCTCTATTTTTCTCTGCTCCTGTCCATCTTTGTCCAGCCCTGTTTGTCTTCCCTTCATTTCTCTATATCAGCACAACATGGGTGATTCAATTTGAAAATTAGTTCTTTCTTCACCATTTAAATATCTGAAGAAGCTTGATGCATGGCAAGCAAAAGCTTACCAAAACAGGTAAGTTTTCTTACTGATTGTGAAGAAATAATTAATTTTCAGGAAAGATCTTGGCTACATACCGGATACTCTGATCTGAGAACATCTTTCAGATTCTCCTTCTTGTAATTGATTGGTCGATCACATCCAATATTCTGAAATCACAAGGTAGAAACAAAAACATGAGAAATAAAAATACAATGAAATGAAATTATATCTGATAAAATTCAAGATTTTCTTACAATCCAAAGGAAAACTACTGGGTTTCCATTAACATGATAATAGTTGTCAAACATATTTGGTGATATATAATTTTGTCGTCTGATTAATTTGTCAATTACTATAAGCATTTTTAGTTATTATGAAACAATATGTCTTTTATGTATATTTTGTTATCTGTATTGAATCTGTATGTGAAATTTGAAACTAATAAACTCAACTCATCACAAGATGGACCTTTCGCTTTTTAACTATAAAATACAGTTTCATTATGATGCCTGTTAGGACAGTATAGGTGACATTTCAAAAACCATCTACCGGTAGCTAAAGTGATAAAACTGTTGATGCCTAAGATAAGGCCACTGCAATTGTCAACATTAAAAAAGTGCAAAGCAATTGGATAGAATATATAGACAAAAGAAATTGATGCAGGGAAAGACTTATCATAACTGAAACTGGGTAAAAAGTCTTACAACTAGTGCTGTAACATCACGGATATCTCCAATTCCGTTTAACCGCCTGTCAAAACCGGACGGTTTTCGGTTAAACGATTTATTTAAAAAAAAAAAAAAAAAAAAAAAAACGTTTTTTTTTTTGTTTTTTTTTTTTTTTTTTTTGGCCGTGTGAAAAAGCAGGAAGGTGATTTAACTGAAGGCGCCGATTTGGGCTTGTGAACTAGTCACAAATAATAGTAACAATGTCGTTTTAGAATAATGTGTAAGATCATTAAAGCAAATTAAAAACAGTAGAGGACCTAGGATAGAACCTTGTGGTACACCATGTGTTAAACTTGGATGAATATATATTGGGATCTATTCTAAAGATTACTTTCAAACCAAGATGACAGACAAATTGGAGTGTTGTTCTAGTTTCCAAGTGGTAAGCCATCACACCGATTACTGAGCTGGGAGACATTGCCAGGCATAGTGCCAGGTGGAGGGGCATAAATCAAAATTTAAAAAAAAATAAAAAAAAAAAAAAAAAAATAAAAAAAAAAATTATTAAAAAAAAAAAAAAAAAAAAAAAAAAAAAAAAAAACGGGAAAACGAAACCGTCCAATTGAAAACGGAATCCGCCATGGGCGGTCGGATACCGGACGGTTAAACGTTTGACTACAGCACTACTTACAACTATCAAAAGTACTGAATTGAATACCAGCCTTGGTCATCTTAATAACCTAGGACCTCTTATTTACTCCTCACTTCACTTTGAATAAAACAGCAGTCATCCAGAATTGTGACTATCTTACTGTTAATGACAGGCTGACATGGATTGTGAGGGAGATATAATGCTAAAACAAGTTAAAACATACCTTCAGGAATTCCACTTTTGAATCTGTTGAGCATGTCCCGATCACATGACACCCAGCAAGCTTAGCTAACTGAACCTGGGATGTGATAGAAGGGATTGAAATGAATCAATTTTATGCTGACTATATTACAAGTTGGAAATTGATTTGTGTTGAGGTGTCGTTGGATAGTGGTTTATTCACTTGACTCTGAATTCACCTAGATACTAAGGTCCTTTGGCAATCTACATGTCCATCCAGGAGTAAATGCATACCAGATATGCCATAGCACTGCATATTTTGTTCAGGTAATAACGTTGGGGTATAACAACCATCACATATACAAGAAGCCACCATTATTATGATTTTTATAAAACCTTGTTGGAAACTGAGCTCAAACCTATTACCAGCTTGTGATCAAATGACAGACATTGGTCATATCTCACAGAAGCTATTTAATCAGCAAAGGATTTGTATGATTCAATGGAGTCTAGTTAGAATTTAAACTACAGTTCTAAAAGTCTATAGGAATGACAGTGTGTGGTTAAAATTACTTACTGCAAATTGTCCTGTTCCTCCAGCAGCGGCTATAGAAAACAAGGAAAGAAAAAAAGTCACACAACTGACAAAATAGTTTTATGGTCTGTAAATCTTTCATATCTTTAAATGTATAATTCAACTTTTAATTGGCTGTGACAAAAGAATTTCCATCACACTCATAGGATAAATTTCAAGTGTTCTTTCCTTACCTGTGATCAAAACCTTTTCCCCAGCTTTCATTTCACCAAGCTGTGAAGAAAATAACGCAAAGAAAAAATGAAATATTTTTTTCTTCAAACATCACAATCTTATTAATATATTACAAAATACCAGCAATCAAGTAGACATCATTTAGATCTAGCATTTTTTTAATTATTTCGTCAGCCAAATGACTAACATTGTAATCATCATCTGCATCATCATCATCATCCCCATCATCATCATTATCACCATCATCATTATCATTATCACCATCATCATCACCATCATTATCACCATCATCATCACCATCATTATCATCATTATCATCATTATCATCATCACCATCACCATCATCATCCTCATCCTCATCATCATCAATATCATCATCATCACCATCATCATCATCACAATTACCATTATCATCATAATCCTCATCATCATCATCATCATCATCATCATCATCATCATCATCATCCTCATCCTCATCATCATCATCACCATCCTCATCATCATCCTCATCCTCATCATATATCTTCTGAACTCACCTCAGCAAGGCTCAGATCAGCTGTCATCCCACTGACCATGAGAGTTACAAACTCTGCTTTGGCTGCCGGAAGAGGGATTGCCATCTTAGCTGGCACAGCCTTCAGAAAATGAAAATCATGTCACAAGATGAAGAAATCATTATTAAAGCTTTGCATTGACAGCTATATATAATGATATATGTGTTGTTGTGTTTTTTTTAATTTCATTACTTGATTTGATTTGATTTGATTTGATTTGATTTTTCCACTCAAACATCCAAAAGTTTAATATATGCACCATATCATAGAACAAATGAATTAAACAACTAACAAAATACTGATAAGTATGTACGTAATAAAATATGTTTACAGAGTACATTTAAGTTTGATAACAAGACAAAATATCTTATATTGCTTGATTTAATTATTTCATTAATGAAAATCTACATCAAGTTTTCTTATATTTTAATTGAATCAATGAACAATCGATTACTTTCACAAGCGTGTCAGAATGTTAACCTCTCATATAATAACTTGATTTGCTAAACACTCATTTCTATTAATATCAACCTATCTATCGACCGGTAAATTTGTATTTTCAATTTTTCTCGAAAGCGGAAGTGTTTTAGGGGCTAAATTTTCTACTGCTTATAATATATTAACAGGGACATCCAGATACATGTACATCAAAATTGTAAAGAATCACTATCCACCCACCCAATTTTCAAAATTTTCCAAAACTTTGTATTACCTTTAATGAAACACAAATCTTGAATCTTTTTTACACACTTACATTGTACTCAGCGAATGCGCCCCATGTCATGCTGGCTATGGCCTGTCCAACTTTGAGATTTTTCACTCCACTTCCAACACTGACGATCTCTCCAACACTCTAATAGCAGAATAAAACGTGACAGATCAATGACATTTTTACAATTGTTCATGAAAGGTCAATAGAAAAGCTGAGGAGTTTCTCAACTTTAAATTGTACTACTACAAGCATCTAACTACTTGGAATTTATGCACAATGTCTGGACTCACTATGAATAAATGAATGAAAAACACCTGATAATGCTAACAACATTTTACACTAACATCAGCTATGCTGAATTGTATTAAAGATAAAGACCAGTTATGGTCATGACGATTGCATTGTGAAAGAAACGTTGTGGAATCGATCAGAAAAGGTTGATCATCTAGCATATAAGTATTGGTGTGAACTGCAAGGTTCTGGAATCATCAAAATGATAAGAAATTTGGCCCAGTCTTCGTAAAGTTACAAGCACTGTACACAGAATTTATGTATATGGGACTACGCACACGTGCACGACACATGCGTTTATCTCTCACACACCAATAGATACAGTGTAAACCAATTTACCAAATATATCAATTAGTAGGCAGTTTCCCTGCAAAATTGTTATCATTATGTATTAGTCAAAACATATTCTTTTACATGATTGGTAATAAGAGCTTCCATTTCATTTTTTGAAATTGGGGCGTTTCCAATACTGGTCTTTACCTTTAAGCAGAAACTGAAAAATACTAAGTGTGAGTCTAGAAAAGTATGTTGGTATCTTGACAACATAAAAGAATGTATAATCCTTTCACAAAAATACAAATATACAAGGTTTTAACGCTAACCATGAAGAAAACACCCAACACCAGGGCCTTTACACCCATTGTAACTCACCTCCATACCAGCTCCAAACGGTGGTTCACCTGTATTTGCATACCTTCCTGATGATGCATTGATCTCAGATGCATTGATCCCTACATATCTAGACAAAACAGGAATGATAAGAAAGCAATACAGGAAGGAGCCGAGTATTACATGCACATGTATAATTGCTGAGAACAAGAAGGGTGTTAAAGGTAAAGACCAGTATTGGAAACTCCCCAATTTCAAAAAATGAAATGGAAGCTCTCATTACCAATCATGTGAAAGAATATGTTTTGACTAATACATGATGATAAAAAATTTGCCGGGAAACCGCCTACTAATTCATATATTTGGTAAATTTGTTTCTCTCATGGTCTGTGAGAGAAATAGGGTAGTCCCATATACATCTTTCTGTGTATAGTGCTTGTAACTTTACGAAGAATGGGCCAAATTTCTTATCATTTTGATGATAGAACCTTGCAGATGCTAGATGCTAGATGATCAACCTTTTCTGATCGATTACACAACGTTTCTTTCACAATGCAATCGCATGACCATAACTGGTCTTTACCTTTAACTTGGTGTTAAAATATGAGTTAACAGCCTTATGGCAGACTCCGAACAGATACTACAAACAGTGATGCAAAGTGCTACATAACATTAGCAAGCACTTACATACTTGTAAGCTATAAAGACAGGCAAGTTAATCAACTACTAAGGCCCCAAATACTACCATGGATCTAAGGCTAAACATAGACCCCCCCCCCCCCCAGTGAGACATGCAGTAGTATGTTAATTTGTGTCACTCCTGGTTATTGTTATCTTTACTCTCAATTATCTATGTTACACTATAACTTTGAAATTTGTTATCCAATGTGTACACAAATTGAGAATGATCCTATCTGTTTGGATTGAAATCAATACAGTCTGAATCTGAATCTGAATCTGTAAACAAGGGTCTGCTGAATAGACTAGAAATAAGTATCAACAATTTTACTTATCAATGTATGAAGATTCTGTATCGCAGTTTTATTACAATTTGTATTCAAATCTTCAAAATAAACTATGGTTTTTGTCCATATTGTTATCTAAATTTATTGTTTGTACAAACAAAAATAGTAACCAAAAAAAATAAAAAATAAATAGAAAAGCTGCAGAATTGAAGAGGAATGACTTGGTCTTTAGAAATTCTCATCAAAGACTGAGCTAAAATGGACAAGTTTTTTTACTTGCACCTTATGAATAGTATGCATGCTGCACTTGAACTCAGTCACCTACACACACCGAGTCAACTATCTGCAAGAATCTTCAAGCCTGAAGGAGAAAACCTGAAGAAATAGAAGAAAAATGAACTGACCTCGTTTTCACAAGCACTTCATCAGCAGCAGGTTGTATCATCGGAACAGAACTGATCTTGACGGCTTCTCGGAAATTAGTGGATAGTTTGGTGACCATCATCTTCCTGAATGTGCTTGGTAGAGCCATGGTTGATACTGAAAAGAGAATGACATGAAATATAAAATAAATAATGGAATAAGTGTTTTTAATTACTTATTATTTGTTCATTTAATATGTCATTTGTTAAAATTAATTCCAACTAGACTGGATATTTATTTACTTTAAAGTTTAAGCAAATACTGTTCACACAAAGAATGTTTTAAAGGTAGGCTTTACTACTTTAGCCAGAAGGGATTAGACCACACAGCGAGCCATCGAGGTCACTGTGACAGGTGGCTATCTCATTAACTCAGCTCTCATTTAACATAAGAAAAAGAGGATCATGGGGGACCAACAGGCACCGATTTTGGAAGTTTTCACTATAGAGGGAGCAAGTAGCTACAAGTAGGACACTGTGCCTTTAAAGCAAATAAAACTAGAAAATCAGAGAAACAGGTGAAGTGTGGGAACCAAAAAAATATCAGACAAAAATATGGGTAAAAGGTTGTGAAGTAATCAATAAGCTTTCCAGATCCCTAGTGACAACTCTTACAATTTCCTTTGCCTTTGGACTAAAAATAGACTATATTCTCCTTTTAATGTATAGACTACAGGGGTGTAGGTCTAGATGCTGAACAGGCCTTGGCAAGTAGCAGAATAGAAATAGAAATTAGGGACCGGTACAGTAGGCCTACTCCATATTATAAACACTTTTCCTCAGGAAGCAGTAACTTTTTTAATACATTATTCTCAAAGTCAAAGACTACACATGTAGGTTAAAGGACAGATGATACTATTTGTATAGTCCAACCTTTCACCGACACTTCAGTGTACTGGCATGACCGATTTATCTACAATAGCTGCACGGTCTACCTCACATCATAATCATCGGGAAGAGGGTCATGTTTGCTCAGTTCAATCAATGTCAACAGGGGCACTCAAGAATTATTGACTCTAAGTTCAATCACAAAATAGAATGATATCTGCATCGCATAGGTAAATGAGTATGGGAGGGAGCACTAAGCTAAGCTACTTGCAGATTTGCAAAGTCATTGTACGAATAAAAGCAAACTAGTGTAACGTTCTCGGCTAAGTAATGACCGACGAAGAGGCGACATTCAGCTACCCCTAGCTTACAACAGAAGCGTGAAAACGAGTACCCCTGCAACCCTGGGTTCACAGCTCGTGGTCGTTCTATAGAGAAAACCGGGTCATCGGATGGTGGTTTCGGCACAATTATGAGAGTATTAATCTAACTTAAAATAAATATAAAGCTTCAAAGTATCAATAGCCATCATCAACAACATCTCATGATTTCATTTTTTTCTGAAATACATACTTACTTCGGAATTACAGTCCTTTTAAAGAAAGTTGCCGACGGAAAGAAGAGGCTGTGCTGTGTCGAAGAACGTCGTCAGCTACTGATAGACTGTGCGTGATATTGTCGTAGATGGCTCTGATCTCGTTTGATTCTGGCCAGTTTCTTTCGCTCTCCCTCAGCTCCCTCCCCCCCCCCCCCCTTCTTTTTTTTTGGGGGGGGGGGGGGTGTTGAATTATGATTAAGATATAACTCGACACTATTTTCTCAATTTTGTTGTAAAAAATGATGTTTCCAGGAGAGAGGGTTTTTTTTCGAGAGAGTAAAATTAAATTAAAAGTTAAGGAGAAGAAGAAGAAAAAGAATTAAGCTAAATTAGAAGAAGAAGAGAAAGAAGATGAAGAGAATGATTTAAGAAGAAGAGGAAGAAGAAGAATGGGAGGATAAGATAATTAATAAGAAGATGTATTAAGAGGAGACTATAAAAATAAAAACCTTTAAAGTAGAAAATGAATATCATGCTGATTTTAATACAAAATGAAGGAAACAGTAAGAAAGACTAGAATGACGTCGATCAGGGGTGGATCAGTTATTATTGGAAGGGATGATGTGGAAAAGTAGACCTACTTTCTCTAGACTCATTCAGATATGCCATAAATGCAAATTAAAAAAGATGGTGTCAATGATTCGTTTGCCATGGTGACTAATGACGTGGCTACAGGAAGGAGGAACATGCTTCCAAATCAATGTTGTTGTGTTTTAAGAGGAAAAAAAGCAAGATAGTGAGAGAGATATAGAGGAATAAGAGCGGAAGGAAAGGGGACAAGAAAACTACAAGACTCCCTCCTATATTGTCCCCCTAATTTGAGCCTTATTTAATTCACAGTTCATTCACTGAACCCCCCCCCCCCTTCAAATCTGGGACCCATGCTTTGCATCTGCTTGTTAATGCTTATGTTGATTAAGGTAAATATAGTCCATTAAACACTTTGGCAATGATGTTAATATGAAAAGACAAAAATCAACTGCTAAAAATACAAATTCATATTTTGTACATGATATTAATACTTTATTACTTGGTCAATCAGGAATATTTATACATGGTTTCAAGAATCTTATACATAATCTTATAAACACTACAATTTCAAACAACATGCACATAAACTGAACCTAAAATAATGTGATAACATTCATCAAACTACAATGCCATAGTAAGTATGGTGAGAATAGGCAAATTTCATAACATAACTAAATGTACGCATATGCCTTTGTGAAGCGCCTCGATAAAAATGATTTTATTCACCCTTTAAGAATAAATGTATCTTAATAGTCAGAACTCAAATTGCATGCATTACTTGTTGCTAGGTAGGACAAACATCATGGCATGCCCTACTGAACACCTTGTGATATTTTCAATTTGCATTCTGAGTATTGAAAAACAATTATTTGTAACAGGTGAATAAAATCATTTGGATGGAGGCAGTGAAGTATATATTGGACAATGAATTAAATTGTTTTATTTTTCTCAAAAGATGTTACAAACAATTCATTTCAATAAGATCTTGAGTAGACAGTGCCACTATAAATTTAAGTATGGTACATATTCAAAGAAGCTAGGAGAAGCCAGTCAGAAGCCTATATGATATGTTCCTGGTCTGGGTATAGTAAACTTGATAAACTCAAAGCATGTCTAAAAGCAGACCAGAGCAAATCAAACCAGTATCAAAAAGATTTGCAAGGAACCTGCTATGAAAGCATGTCGGCATTTTACAATTGAGATTTAAACAACCAATTTCAAACAATCTAAATGTAATTTACAAGGGTCCAGGCCTTTTTCCCATGTGAATGGTTCTTGGTCTACATTACTGGGGTCTGGGCCCCGTCTTACAAAGAGTTGATATTGATATTACAATTATTAGTAAAACGGAAACCTGCAACTAATTGCAAGATGATATCAATCAAAGTTGTGATTGATACTTGATATTGACACCTATATAATTGAAGAGTCTCTATTCTAACATCTTAAAATTCAATACATCATGCTTCAACCTTAGATCACCTGCAGTAAACTTTTGTTAATCTTGATAAAGGAATATACCTCTGTTTAAAATTCTACATGAAGTAAGTTGTTCATTTAAAACCGTTAGTATCTTAGCAGGAACAGGGAATGTAAAGTCACCGCAAATTTCCATTATACAGTCAAACCTGCTTTCGTAACCACCTGTCTACAAAGACCCCTTTTTGTGTTTCCCTTAGGCGGTCGCTATAGACAGGTTTGACTGTATCATGTAAGCAACGATAGTCTGGCTACCTGTATTAAACTCTACAGTTGAACGCAATTTAATAGTATAATGTTAATAGCATAATGTTAATGGCATAATGTTAATAGCATAATGCATGCTCTGATAAACATTTCAGACTTGGCCGATACAATATTTTACCAAGGTATGCAAGATGATGCAACTCTACTTGAAATAACACTTCATGTTGAAGATGCAAAGCGTAAGGCGACATAATTTGACATACTATGAACTCCATTAACAGAGGAAAGCTATGCAAATAAGTCACAAATTGTTTCCAATATGAAAATCTAAAAATCTGAGAATGCATTGTGAAATTGTGCCAAGGAATCAGATATGATTAGTAACTAGTTAGCAGTATACATTTGGTGCTTTAATATTCACATGCTACTGTGATCGCTACATGCAAACTTCGTGACTTGTTTTTAAAAAGACTCTAATTGAATGACTGAAGAAAGAAAAGAAATGTCATTTAACCATAGCTCCAGTCTATGAATGGATATCTAACTGATTTTTCTTGTCCGACATATTTTCGCAAATTTGACTTTTCTGAAGTAAAATTTTCCATATTTTGTGACTCATTGTTAGAATAGCCTCAAAGTGAACGACTGAAGAAGCAAAAAAAAAAATCATTTAACCATAGCTCCAGTCTATGAATGGATATCTATACCTTATCTATGTTACTTTTGTATTTTTGCTTTTTCTTCTAATTTAATTCTACGGGTTATAGTCTTCTCTTAATCAGAACACTGTGCGCTTAGAAACATCAGTATTAAGCGCCTAATAAATGTTATGTATTATTATTATTATTATATTCTTGTCCGACTTATTTTGGCAAATTTGACTTCTCTTTCAGTCTATCAATCTACTTACCCCGAGCACAGTGCCTTCATTCCATTATACAGTAAACTATCAGAATATCTAAAAATTTACATTTCCTATGTTCATTGAGAATAATATTAATAATATGAAGCTACCGTTATACATATCGCATTACACTCTTCTATATTTACAAATGATTGGCAATTTTTCTTCACCGTTACAAAATGTATGAAAATCTTCCAATATATATGATCAATTATCTCTTTCTCTCTATATATTACTTGAAAGGTATAGATGAATACTTGATACATGTTTCAAATCTTCAAACGCAATTCTCAGATCAAACACAATTCATTTGATATGTATTCGGTATGCTAATGAGGGACAAATTCAAACGCCAAAATGAAAGATGATTTTAAAATCCAAAACTGATAACCCAAGCAATTTCTTGGGGCTGTTCCTTTAGAACCGGTATCTTTTAAAGTCCTTCCTGTTTATTCTGTTTAATCCAAGACAGAAAAATGAAACCCAACATTAGATTCGTTTTTGTTCACCGTATGCAGCACCTTCCAGAAGGCATATAGAATTGCTCAAGATAGGATAAAATGGTTTGAATATGTTTGTGTAGCCAGCGTCCTTAGGAAAAAGGTGACAGCGAAGTTAAGCTTAGTATGCAAGCAATAATTATGACAGATTTATACAATTGTTGTCAGGTAATTAATAAGTAGGAAGGCAGTATAATATAGAGTTATATACTAGTTATAAATAGCAAACACTTAGCTTGTGAAGCAACACTTTGAGATTCTTATAAAATACATTTAAGATGGTTATTGAATGATACAAATTGCTTCTTAAAAAGGTAATGTTGGCATACAGTTAAAAACAAGAGAATATTGGTACATTGTTTGTGCTCTAAAACTATCTTTAGCAAAACTAACAACTACTGACGAGACAGCCATTGCAAATGCACACTTTTAAAATCCACCATGGAAACATTTGGCAACTACTTGAAAATAAGGCTTTTTGAGCTGCAGTCGAACGTACTTGTTTGTCTTGGATAAAAGTTCAAGTTGGTATATCACACAATTTCCATATAGATTAAAGATGTGATTTTAATTGGGCTTAGTATTACATGATTTACTTTACATCTAGATGATTAGATAAATTTTTAAAGCTTCATTTCAAAGAAATACATAGATATGGTAAGTAAGATTACAGTATCTTTTTAAGTAGTTAACAATTCCAGATTTTAGCCAAAAAATTACACTGACTTTAGTCCAGTTTTGGGTCCACCTCATAAGCACTTCCATTGGATATATATATAATGCAAGTGGTTTCCATTGGTTTGTCAGTGGAAGGGCGAGAGAGGGAGGGACCAAAGCACACGTAAGAGGATGAGTTGCTCCACAGGAAATGGACATCCTAACAGAGATGATGACCTTTGACCCCTGTTGAACCAGCATCACCCAATGTATACAAGCACATTAGGAAATGCAGGTTCAATACGTAATACATAGATGGCAGCTTGTAGCAGTATATAGTCGCTTCACACGCTGAATATTGAGTCCAGTTGTTGGTTTTATAGGCAAGGAACATTGCATGAAATTCTGCTTCCGATACAACCTGGATGAGAGACAGAGGAGATGGAGGGATAGAGGGATAGAAAGAGAGAGGGAGAGAGAGAGAGAGAGAGAGAGAGGAGATGGAGGGAGGGGGAGAGAGAGAGAGAGAGAGAGAGAGAGAAGATGGAGGGAGGGAGGGATAGAAAGAGAGAGAGAGAGAGAGAGTATGAGAGAGAGAGGAGACGGAGGGATGGAGAGAGAGAGAGAGAGAGAGAGAGAGAGTGAGAGAAAAGATGGAGGGAGGGAGGGATAGAAAGAGAGAGAGAGAGAGAGAGAGAGAGAAAGAGTGGGAGTTGAAGACAGAAACAGACAAAGCCACATAATGAAAGGAGAGAAGAGGGGAGATGAAGCAAAGAAGAAAGGAAGATATTTGATAAAAATGTCAATAAGAAACATAAATATGAACTTATTTTATACAAGACAAATTCAACATATCACCATCAATAAAATATGTACCGTATATCCATCATTCACCTCTCCTAAATTAGGGTCAAAAGAATACAAACGAATGCATTGAATGTATTATCATCAGTTAAAACGAAAGTTTAAAAAAACATTATAAGCTAACAGACTTCATAATGCTGAAAGGCACTCTATGCTCTAGAGATAGAATTAGGCATCCCAGGTAGATATTCTACTACTGATATGAGAACTTACTACATGAAAGTCAATAGGGGGGTAGTGTGTTCATTCCGGTGACATCTGTCGCCGACGCGCTGCCCTCTGTCGATCAAATCTTGTCTCCATCTCTTCGAGCACCTTGGGTGTATATCTCACAACAAGCTTGACTCTCTCTGAGGCGGACTTCAGGAGCTCCACAGCCTTCTCATGCTGCTCGCCCTCTACAGACTGAAACAAGACAGTCAAAGTAAGGTCAATTGTATAATTTATTATGACATAGCAATGAGAAGCCCATCTGGTGGTCGAATATTACAGATGCATAGTAGTTGGCTCTCATGGGGAATTGGACAGCATTCAGGTTTCCCCAATAACAGGTGTTGTCAATCACCAGGATTAGCCTGAAGTTTTATAACCAACAGGTTTTACTATTATTATTGTATGAATGTTATTAGGAATTTGTCATTATAATTATGTATCATGTATTATATTGTTGTAATTTGTATGTTAACATTACTTTAATTTTATTTTTGTTAAGTGCTTAGAAACTTTGTATTAAGCGCTATATAAATCTAATTTATTATTATTATTATTATTATTATTATTATTATGTAATGCTCTGCCTTTTCCACCCATTTCCCCACATGGTGAAGTTATTATCATACATTTCCCTCACCCAAAGACTCTCTGAGAGACTAAGTGGTATTTTGGATGGGACGACAGGTTTGCAGTGTGCAGACTTGTACACACACCCATTAGAGGTATTTCCACTCAGTCTGGTGTCATTGAAATATGACCTACTGCACATGGAAACTGACGACCCTCTCCCTTCAATGTCTGTATTTTTTTTAAAATCTAGTTTCTAAAAACAGAAAAGGCTTCCAGGTAATAGTTATTTACTTAGGTCCTTTTAACTAATTGAAGTAGTAAATTGTATATTCTGTTTGACTTTAATTTGTTGGTTTGTCAAATTATATTCTGTGCTTGTAGTACATATTGTCCAATGGTTATATTTGTTAGGGTTCTGCCTCGAAAGGTCAATGGCCTATGCGGTTCCCTTCCACATTTTCACGTTTCACTGTAATGTTATTGCTTATATATTGATATGCTCAGGGGATAATTTGTCTGGATCGCATCGCAATTTGCTATGCATTTTTGCATGACTGCTATACAAAATATCTTTTGTGTAGCAGTTTTCTTCCATAGAAATGTACAGAATTTCATTTGAAATATTTATCCATCGGCTGAAATTGCTAATCATAAAATTATTCCCAGTATGCTATTGTTCATAATATTTATGGTATTAATTTTATGTTTTTAATGGAATGTGGAAAATAAAACTTGACCTTACCACACCATTGACCGAGAGTAGCTGGTCACCCCTCTTCAGGCCCCCGTGTCGATGGGCTACACCCCCAGGGATGATCCTTGAGATATAGATGGGTGAGTTCTGCTCTCTGCCTCCCATCACATTGAACCCTAAACCTTCATCCGTCTTAGGGAGTTCAACGACCCTTGGGTGGGCGTGGCCCTCGCTAGCTGCAAAGGCTGCTACGGTAGCCTGGAAGACAAAACAAAGAAAGAAAGAAGAACTGATTAACTTAGCTGCAACGGCTGCTACTGTAGCCTGCAATACAAAACAAACAAAGAAAAAAGAACTCATTAGCTAGCTGCAAAGGCTGCTACGGTAGCCTGGAATACAAAACAAAGAAAGAAAGAAGAACTGATTAGCTAGCTGCAAAGGCTGCTACGGTAGCCTGGAATAAAAAAAACAAAAAACAAAGAAAGAAGAACTGATTAAAGTTTTTGATTGGGACCTAGTTGAAATTCTGAAACTAAAAACATAATGTTATAAACTTAGAACATCATATTAATATTATCGTATTACAACATGTATTTTATTCTTCTTCTTCTTCTTCCAGTATAGTACAGACCGCGTATTATCGTACCTTGTGCTTGTCAAGTGCTGAGTGTACAGTGCAAGTATATAGGCTCTATAAGAATTCTATTGTTTTGAAACCTACAGCATTGATCTCTGCAATCTCTGCAAATTTTTACCTCTTTTTTTTTCTTCAGCCCCTTTCTCTTCAGCTGTGCTCCACACCAACTTTTTTTTCGGAGGGGGTTGGAGGGGGATTTTTAAAGTTTTTACAGTCTCTATGTACGAGCCCTTTTTAAAAATTTCAACATCATGAGGGTTCAGACTTGAATTTTTGGTGCCACTTGTTTATGTCGAGCCCTGTCTTAAGTTTCTCTTTCCATATATCCTTCCTTCCTTATCATCTAACATCTTCTCTTAAACATCAAATTCGTCAAAGTACGTTAATGATTTTCCCTGACAACTATATATATATTTACATGTACACATTAATTGGCAACTATCAATGCAATATGAAATATGTACTGGGTATACTTACACATTCTATTTTGAAAATATGATACTTCGCTGAAAAAAAAACGGTCAACAAGAATATAATCGTTGCCTCTGTTACCAATGGCAAGAGAAAGTCACACAATTTAAGGGAAACCCATCATGTCCTTGATTATTTCAGAGTTAAAATATTAATAATAGGCCGAGTTAACAACAATAAATAATATAATAACCTCATCCTGTATATCGTCCAGGATCCGATCAAACTTTATTTAAAAAGAAAATCCTTGAAAATTAGACCACAACATTTTGTAGACAATGATAATTTGGAGTTCAGGAAATATTTGGTTGAGACAAGGCATTCAAATATTTCCTTTCAAAATGACCAATTTCCTGTCAGACGTCCAGTTTGATCTCAAATTACCACAAGCCACCTGGCCTGAAAACAAATTTCTTTTCAAGCTTGCAACTTACTGTAGGCAAGCAGATATTAAAGGCATCGGTTAACAATGTTAAATCTGATATGCATGACCCTATGTGTTATCAGTGTCTGTGATATGGTGTAATATTGAAGCCCTACAACAATTGCGCTTCAAAATGATCATGAAGTGCCTCAAGAAAGTAAAATCTTTGAGTGACCGGTTTTTTCCATACTTAATTTCCCTGATAGACTGTAGTGTTATAAAAACCGTTATATACCTCACTTAAGTAATCCAGCCATCTGATTGGTCGAAATTGCATTCATAAACTTCAACTGTTCCTGTAAAATTCCCGGTAACCATGCATAAAACATTTAATATTTTTAATAACCATGGTTATTAAAAAAATAGGTCAGCCTCCATGGTTACCCCATAGGTTTACATGTTAAAAAATGGTTTGAGCGATCGAGGATACCGTATGTGTGCGAAGGATTGGTCGGTAATTTCAATACAATTGAATCTCGATCGATCTTACCGACAATTTTATCTTGCATTGTTGACATGAAGACGAAAATAAACTTCCAAAAACAAAAAAACAACATCTGCCGATAGATCTTGATCTAAGTTCGTGCCAATATGCATTGCAAAAGTAAAAGAAGGGTCCGTTTAATGGAGCTTTTGCGAAGCATTCATCACGCCGAAGCCGGTTTCAATCCATTTTAATGTATATATTGTACAAAACTGCCAAGCACGTGAACATCGCGCGATGGACGAGTGGTGTAAGGCGTTGGTGTAAGATTCATCACTCATTGTACGCAAGGGTTCGACTCTCACCTTCGACAAAAAAAAAAAAGTATTTTTTATTTTTTATTTTTTAGTCTATTTTTTTTCGGCATATAAAAGTATTAATGACTGCTTTAATATTCGAGAAATAGTTGTTTTTATACGCTCTCGGGAAGGTTACAATTGGGCTATTCCCCTCGGCACGCCTCGGGGAATAGCACAATTCTAACCTTCCCTTGAGCTTATAAAAACAACTATTTCTCTCAAAGCAGTCATTAATACTATATTATATTTCCATTTTCAATCATAAATATCTTGATAATCAGACAAGCGATTGGCTTGTAAACGTCATGGATTCCTGACTGACCTAAAGGTTTATAATTATGATTGCAGCATGAGCCAAGTCCAGAATTTTTGTTTCAGAACCTGAGGCAATGTTACCGAGTTACTTTAAACCCACAAACACACAATACATTAGAGCAGGGGATATCAAATTGATTTATCATCCCAGGCCTTTTCCTTTCTGTCTTCTTTCATAGAAACATTTAACACTGCAACATTCTTGCTACATGTATTACACACCAATTGGGTTCATAATAATTCTGTTGACAAAACTTAAATGTATTTAATGTGATCGTGTAACCAATTATTGATGTAAGGTACACATTACATATATGCCCAAATTATGCTTAAAATGCAGCAATAGTCAGCAAAAAAGACAAACTTTTATGACTGGCAAAACTCTCATCCAAATACATGTTTTTCATACCTCTATATTTCACATACTGTACATGTAGCTAAACTCACTCAATGCTTTAAAGCCCCACTGTCCTACTTGTAGCTACTTGCTCCCTCTATATAGAAAACTTCCCCAATCGGTGCCTGTTGGTCCCCCATGATCCTCTATTTCTTATGTTATTTGAGAGCTGAGTTGATGAAATAGCCACCTGTCAGTGACCTCGCTGTGTGGTCTAATCCCTCCTAGCCATACTAGTGTTGATAAGCTTTAAGAATCAATATCAATTCAGGGCTTATCATAATCACTAAGATTCAGAGAGATGTTGAACAATTGCTTGATATCAGTTAAGCTGCGACCTTTGACCTTAGAGAATCAGGTTAATTGAACTGATAAAATCTACATCTTAGCTTCACAAGAGGAACTAATTAAAAAAATACAAGATTTTGTGTATCTGTTTAAGCTCTACATGTATCTATTTTGCTTGATACGTAATATGTTATCATTGAAATGTAATTCATCCCCTTAATATCTTGTGGAATGGTTAATGGAATTGATTATTACACAAATCCACATTGTTCTCAATTTAAATTACTGTTACACTGTCAGAGTCACTTATATGAATCAAATAAAGGTAAATTCTTCCAATGCAGTATTTTTTCTTGGATTTGCGGAATAAATCTGTCATTACCGAACAATGTTTAGTGTTGATTTGAATAAATAAATAACTGACTGAGAAAATGAAGTGAGGAACAGCAATTTCCATGGGCCACATCAATAGTCAAAGGAGACTCAATGTTAAAGCTATTCATGCAGCTCAACATATAGAACTGACATTGGATCATTATTAGCCTTGGCATTTATTACTGAGGGATATAACTTGTTATAATCAAGCATGTGTACCTTCAATATTAAACTTAGTAAGAGAAGAGAGAGAGAGGGGAAGGAGAGAGAGGGAGAGGGGAAGGAGAGAGAGAGAGAGAAACAGAGAGAGAGAGAGATCTAGGATAGAAAATTAAGTGGGTGGAGTACCTTGTATCTAATGGAAGGGGATATGTCCAATAACGCCCTATTTCCAGTCTTAATGATCAGCTGTTTTCCAATTTAGATGAATGTCCATGTCCATAGTATTAACAGTAACACAATACAATTATACATGTAGAGACCTCGGTCCAAAGCAACTCCCCTTGTCCTCATTATCATTTACATGTACATCAATAATTATAATATAAAATTAAAAAAGCTATTAAAAAGCAACTTTACAAATTTGCTATGGGTATAAATTTGCAGAGCTAATGTTTTGCAATACCCTTCATTCATATTTTCAAAGATCTAAAAATGTGTATATCATATACCGGTACACACTAAGGCTGTGCACAACAGTGTAATGAGGTACCCGAGTACACTCCCAGGCTTACAAGCTAATACTTGAATATTCGGACGCCATGTTTTTTAATTTTTTTTTTTGTGAATTTTTTTGTGAATTTTTTTTAATTGTTTTGATTTTTTTTTAATTGTTTTGATTTTTTTTTGTTGATTTTTTGTTGTTGTTGCCACCACCATACCTTTGGAGCAGTATCCCAGTTCTGTCACCGAAAACGCATGCAATTTTACTCCGAGGTGCAGTTGAAGGCGCCGATTTAATAATGATAATAACAGTAAACAATGCTGTTTTAAAAACCAAAGATGGCAGAATAATCCATTTTCCTACAAGTCCAAACAGAAATCCAGACATTTGGTCCCAGTTTCTGAGCGGTGAGTTTGACAGTGCTTGAGTTGGGAAACATTTTTACCGACGGCACCATGCCAGCAGCCGCCGCTCACTCAGGCACGGGTAAGCGTCGGCCTGGACAGATTTTATTTTTTTTGGGGGGGGGGGGGGGGTTTTGCGGCCGAATATTCGGGTACAAGAAATCGTACCCGAGTAGTTGTCAACCGTGCGGGTACTCGAGCATTCGACTACATGTCGCAGCCCTAGTACACACAATATATATTCCCAAAGTTGGCGCAGACCTTGTGAACAACTACATAACGATTTAACAGACAAGAATTTATTATATCTCTCATGGCATGTTTATGACCTTATATATGTATGAGTTCATACTCACAGCTTATGATCTACACAAGTACAAGTATGAACACAGTATGATGCTTACCTTAGCTGTAGCATTAGCTCTGACCTCCGGATCTCCTTGTATGTCTACTGTCTCATGGACATGTTCATACTCACAGCTTATGATCTACACTAGTACAAGTATGAACACAGTATGATGCTTACCTTAGCTGTAGCATTAGCTCTGACCTCCGGATCTCCTTGTATGTCTACTGTCTCATGGACATGTTCATACTCACAGCTTATGATCTACACTAGTACAAGTATGAACACAGTATGATGCTTACCTTAGCTGTAGCATTAGCTCTGACCTCAGGATCTCCTTGTATGTCTACTGTCTCATGGACATGTTCATACACTTCCCTCACAGCGTTGAAGAAATCGCTTTCTAAGATGGCCTGTAAAGCAATCAGCTTCTGTGTAGGCAAGCCAGACTCTGAAAAAGTTGGAAAAAGATAAATACAATGCTAATGATTAGTGAAAAAATAGGGAAAATAAGGGGAAAATCGGTGGAAATCTGGAAGAAAAAGAAAATAGAGGACAACAAAAACTGGAAGAAAAAAAATTGGGACAAAATCAGGTAATTATCAGTCCTGCAAATCCAGCTAGTTTCAAGATATTTTTCAATTACAAGATCGAGCACGCCATCTTTATCTACTGGGTGCAAGCCCAATTTTTTGTTTAAACAATACAAAGCTATCACTAATGGTATCAACTCTACCCCATGACAATATGGCAATTCCTACAATGGTTTAATAGCTATACATCCCAAGTCGGGTGGTCGCTTTGTAAAACAACCTTTCGTGAATCAAAAGCGGAAAGATCATGTGATGCTCATGTCAAAAAAATTTCAAGGTTAGAGATGACACATTTTGGAAACTGATAAATTATTTGGTCTTCTGTGAAGTTCTGAAAAATGCAGATGAAATTTAATACAACACTAAAAATATTTTCAAAGAAAACACAATGTCTAAAATGATTTCTTCAAATTAATGACAGGTTACTACATGTACATGTTTGTATGGGTACTTCCTATAATCATGAAGTAAAAAAGAACACGTACATTAGAGCTTTGCAGTTGTTTTGCTTTCCTCCACAATTAGTCAATCAAGTACAAGCCATGCCTTAAATTTTAATATTTTTAGGGCAAGGCCACTTTTTTCTGTAGGGCACATTCCTATATTACAGCACAAATAGGAAGAATTGGAAAGGGCACACAAAATCTCCAAGGCCAATGAGAGGGGCATTGAGGCCAATCAAAAGGGCATCCACCGTCCACGGCCATGGCCTTGGATTACATTAAGCTCTGACAAGCAATACAACTAAAAAGCTAGGTATCGAAAGGAAATACTCACGTTGCTGGAGATTTTGCAGTAACTGAACCGCACGGTTGACATCTGGTGAAACAAGACAAAATAATTTATTTCATAACAATTTGTATGAGTTTTAATCATTTAAAATTAATCACATATCACAACAATAGACATCATCTACACATCCATAAAATATTGACAGGGTTTTGAGAACCTAGGAAAAAGTGACTCAAAATTGTTTTGTATTGAATAGATCCCATTTTGGCATTTTAACTAAAAAATGGCAAGCATAGTTATCAATAACTCATCTTATCATAGAAGTATAATCTATCTTTTATTAAATACTTTCTGTAGACTGTGGTGTTGGAAGAAAATGAAAAATGAAAAAGTGGCAATGTGGTTGACTTTAAAAGAAAACCTTTGTGGAACTGGTGCCATGATGGTAAAATCAAACTTATCCAATAAAAAATAGGCATTTTATATAAATTCATCCTTGTTTTGTCGTTTGATGCCTTATTTATATCTAAACCTAGATAAGAGGATCTACATGTATCTAGGTAAAAAAAAAAAAAAAAAAATTATCATGGTTTTGATTGGTATGAACAGTTTGAAATGGCCCAGAGTTTTGAATATGGTTCTATCAGCTGTTTGTAATTTGGTTTCATTCCCCTTTTGACCTTACCGGTAGTTTAAACATCAAGCTTAAAGATAAACTTTAGTACTGGTAATGCGATTGCATTGTGGAAAGGATCAGAAACAGTTGATCATGTAGTATTTAAGTATTGGTGTGCACTGCAAGGTTCTGGAGTCATCAAAATCATAATAAATTTGACAGAGTCTTGGTAAAGTAACAAGCACTGTACACAGAAAGCTATATATGGGACAACAGGCCTTAAATTTCAATATTTTTAGGGCAAGGCCACTTTTCTGTAGGGCACATTCCTATAGTACAGCACAAATAGGAAGAATTGGAAAGGGCACACAAAATCTCCAAGGCCAATCATAGGGGCATCCAAGGCCTGGCCTTGGATGGCCTTGGATTAATTTAAGCCCTGGGACAACACACATGGTGTCGGGGCTAGTCTACCTTGATTTCCTTGTCTTTCTATGCTCATTACTCAGCCAGTATACATTTTCTTCCAAAATTGTTTGGCACATGTCATTTATTTGTAATCTTGAACATTCAGTGTAAGTTTCGTTTGATTCTGTGAGAATTAATTTTCTTTTTTTTTTAATTTTTACCAGAACTGGAGTTTATCTTTAATTAGTTTTGAGAACGAATTCTGAACTCCCAATTAGTCTAGTTGACTTTAAAAAAATTGTGACATGTTAGTGTTAGATAAGAAATATGTGACTTGTTACATTATATTTCAGATTTTTAAATCACTGAGAAATGATTTCTCGATTAAATCTAAGTTAGATCTAGGCCTAGCCTATTCAAAATTCAGTTTCACTTTCAATTTTGTTGAGAGACGGCCACCCAACTCAATTGTTGACAATCTTGATTGTCAATATGAATATGACAAGTTTAAGCTTATTTTCATTTTGCTGAAAATTCGATTAAAAAGGTTCGAAAGTTCAAAATTTGTGGGAGTTTTCGGTCCTCAACCCACCAATTTTGCCCGGTCCACCGCACCCAACCCCAAGCCATGCCCTCCCTGCCCTCTCCGCCCGCCCGGCCATCTCCCGTCAATAAACGTTCAAACGACCCTTCTTCCTGTAAACAACAGCGAGTCGCGTATGAAGATGGGCGTAATGCAGAGCGGATAAAAACACTCTAATTTTCACACTTCCTCACATCATTACACAGAAACTCTTACCTGATAATGGTCAGAAGATACCATATTTGTATAATAATGCACAAAATACTAAAATATTGGTGACATCCAAGATATATTAATGATTACAAATGTATAGTATATTTACCTCTGTCGAGTGTAAGTTCTCCTGTAGAAGCCATTTTGTCATCTGTAACATGACGTCATTCAGTGTACATGTAGTCTGCTTACCAGTTTATAATTTTTCAAAATCAAGGCATTTCTTAATTTTAGTAATCCTCAAAAGACTAGGAACGTAAAATTGTTTATGGTTTGAGGAAAGATGCAATTTGTTGAGATAATTGATATCCTTCAATCTCTTAAGTTTCTTCCAATCTAACTCTCTTTCACTTTCTCTCTCTCTCTTATTATCTCTTATTTCAAGATTGATTTCTAACTTTTGCTGTTACTTAGTGTTATAATCTCACATAATTAATCTATCCCCCAGATTTCATTGCAATCTGTAATCTCCTCCCCCCCCCCTCTCTCTCTCTCTCTCTGTGCATGCATCTTCTGTTCTTTTCTTATTTATCAAGAACATTTTAAAATGCGACACAATTCACAAAATCATAACAGTTATTCATAAATTATAGGAAATATATTTTGATTTTCTTCTCCTTTTGCACTACTTTGATCTTTACAAAGACAGAATCGCTCATAATGGCTATCAACAAGTACAGAATGTTCACTAGATATAATTGGTCCATATAAAAGGAGCATCCTGCTTTAATCTGACTAGAGCAAACAATGAAAGACTTCATGAAAGATAAGGAAAGATTACCGCAATATCAAGAAACAGAAGCAGAGTATGAATTTGTGTATGCAGAGGGCGAACAAATGAAAAGTGCTACAAGGAAAGAGAAAACAGAATTTAACAATGATGAGAGGTATGAGCATAGACGCAGCAAACATGAGAAATGCAACAAGATAAGTGATGACTCCTGTGCAAAGCTGGTCAACTACAAGTGCCTGAATCAAATGCAACGTATAGACTCAAATAGAACAGGAGCCCTAGTAATAGATGGTCAGCTAACACATCAATGCACAGACTACAATCTGCAATCACCCCACAGTAATACAGCAGTAAAAGAAACTGCTGAATGGAATAGCAAGAATCTTTCAAAACCAGCTACAAGATATCCAATACAAACAGGAAGAGAAATGAAGAGCAGCAGTGCTGATAATAATAATGTCACAAGGGACATTTTTAAAGCAAAGGGATACTACAAAAATGACATGTGTACATGTAACAGGATTCCCTCATGTCAGCAATCCCACATTGACATGAGTATCAGAGATTTGGGAGAGGGGAATATCACCAATATTGTTAAAGCTGATAACGAGAAAGGTGTAATACAAGAAGATGAAAGTACTGAGAGATATAGTGACAATGATGAGAGAAGAAGCTGTTACAGAAGTCCCATGAGAAGTACTGACCACATTAACTCAAGCCTGATGTCAGAAAGCTCCGATTTTTTCACTGAAAGTGACAGTGAAGATGACAGCACTCAAATTAATTTGGAGAGTAATGATGATGATAATAGCTCTGTCAATGGTGATCACAGTCATGATGGAAAAGACGGAGATACTGATACAGATAGAGGTAAACAAAGCAAGTTCAAAAGGAAACTCAGAGATAGGAAGCTACAAATCTTCTACACAAACTGTGACTCACTTCTGAACAAACGAAACGAGCTACTTCTTCTTCTACAATCACATGACGTCGATCTTGTCTTGCTGACAGAAGTTTTCCCTAAGAACCACCAAAACCCCCTTACACATAGAGACTTCATTTTAGAGGGATATGATTTGCACTGCAATCTGGAGGATGGAAATAGAGGAGTTGCAATTTATATCGCAAGAGATCTTTACCACCTTGTCGGTGAATGTGATTTGCAGCACAGTTTCCATGAGTCAGTGTGGATCTTAATTACTCTAAGAGGCTCAGACAAACTACTGATTGGATGCATGTACAGAAGCCCATCACTAGACAACCATGAGGAACTGAAACGAGCATTTACACAAGTCACATCAATCAACTCCTCCCATGTCCTAATAGCAGGAGACTTCAACTATCCCAACATTGATTGGAAGCTTGGAAGGGCAAGGTCCCATACTGAACAGGAGTTCATTGAAACTGTCGCTGACTGTTATCTACACCAACACATTGGGGAACATACCAGATACAGAGAAGGCCAGCGTTCCAGTATGCTAGATCTGGTTTTCACGAACGAGGACGGCATGATCAACCACATAGACTATGTACCTGGAATTGGAAGAAGTGATCATATTGGAATCCTCTTTGGCCTTACAGTATACACACCAGACACCCACACCCCAACTCCTCACCTCCAGTTTTACAGAGGGCAGTATGATGATATGTGTAAAGAGCTAGACCAAATCGAGTGGGAATCTGAATTGGAGAATAAAAGTGTAGAGGATGCTTGGGAGTTCTTTGTAGTCACCCTGACTGAAAAAATGGAGAAGTTCATACCGAAGTCAAAACCCAAACACCGCAGAAAGAAGCAGAGATGGATGACTAGAGAGGCACTGAGGAAACAAAGCCAGAAACATCGAGCTTGGAAAGAGGCACAGAGGACCAAACATCCTGTGGACATTATGAGAGCAAGGAGATTAGCCAAGCAGCTGCAAACTCTGACCAAGCAGTTATGTAGGAATTTTGAGAAAGACCTGGCTATGAATGTGAAATCAAATCCCAAGGCATTCTGGAGGTATACAAATAGCAAACTCAAAACCTCTTGCAGACTAGGCGAACTCAGAACTCCGGACGGTGAACGAATATCAACTGATAAAGGAAAAGCGGATGCATTGAACACCTTTTTCGCCACTACATTCACTGATGAGGATAAAGGGCACATTCCAAAACTCCCACCAAGACACAAAGGAGAGACATTGACATCTATCTCAATCTCTGAAGATGATGTTTATAAGAAGCTTGTCCACCTGTCAAAGTACAAATGTGCAGGACCTGATGGCATTCACCCTTGCGTTCTAAAAGAAACAGCCGCCTCAGTTTCAGAGCCCCTCTCCATAATCTACAATGCATCATTGAAGGAAGGCAAACTACCAAGTGCATGGAAGGTCAGTCATGTGGTACCTGTCCACAAAAAAGCCAGTAAGATGGATGTTAAGAACTACAGACCAATCAGCTTGACATCAGTACCATGCAAAATTCTGGAGTCACTAATTCGAGATGAGATAGTTGCCCACCTGATGGAAAATGACCTACTGTGTGATGAACAGCATGGCTTTGTTCCAGGACGCTCTTGTGTGACACAGCTTCTGACTGTCATGGAGGCATGGACTGAGATGCTGGATAAAGGAACCCCTATTGATGTGGTATACTTAGACTTCAAGAAAGCTTTCGATAGTGTACCTCACCTTCGCCTTCTATCAAAACTTGAGACATACGGTATATGTGGCCAAATTAAGGAATGGATAGCAGACTTCCTCCAAGGTAGATGCCAGAGAGTTAGAGTCAATGATAAATTATCTGACTGGACAAAAGTAAGGAGCGGAGTGCCGCAGGGTAGTGTTCTCGGCCCAACAATGTTTGTCTTGTGCATCAATGACCTACCAGATGGACTTCAAGGGTCTGTCAAGATCTATGCTGACGACACTAAACTGTATGGCAAAGCATCCACCAAAGATGATCTGTGCTCAATCCAATCTGACCTTGATGCACTAATGGAATGGAGCAATACATGGCAAATGCACTTCAACACACAAAAGTGCAAAGTACTACACATAGGCCCAGGAAACGTCAAACACATCTATGCCCTTGGAGATGATGTCCTTGAAGCTACATCAGAGGAGAAAGACCTCGGCATCCTCATTGATGACGAGCTAAAGTTCCATAACCATGTGGCATATGCTGTCAAGAAAGCCAACGGAGTACTCTCCTGCATCCGTCGCAGCTTTGAGTGCAGAGACAGGTCCACAATTCCAAAGCTGTACAAAGGCCTTGTCAGACCTCTCATAGATTACGGAGATTCCATATGGTACCCTCGCTTCAAGACAGACTCCAAAACCATAGAGAGGGTGCAGAAGAGAGCTACCAAAATGATTTATGACATCCGCAACCGTCCTTACATAGAGAGACTTCGGGCGCTCAACCTTCCCTCCCTCGAATATCGCAGACGGCGAGGCGACATGATTCAGGTTTTCAAAATCATCCATGGACTTGAACGCATCCCAGTTGATACCTTCTTTGAACACTCGACTAGCAACACAAGAGGCCACAGTCTAAAGATCGTAAAACAAAGATGCTCAACGAAGATTAGACAGGATGCATTCAGCCAACGTGTCATCAATGACTGGAACACACTTCCTGAAGAGGTGGTCACTGCTACCACGGTGAATGCCTTTAAAGCCAGACTGGATCGAGTATGGAAGGACAAGCGTTTCTGCTCCCCATATGAGTAGAATACCCGACGCAGAACTGAGCCAGACACTTACCAAGAAGACACCCAACTACGAGAAGGAAGAAAATGTAATTGAACTGGAAGCCCGACTGCTGAGAACACAGCATTCTTCCAGAATCTCGGGTAAAGGTAAAGGTCCACATATCTAATATTTTCTGATTTTCACTCTGACTTCAAAGAATCACAGTTATTTTGGCTTACAGACAAAATGATGAATGTTATCTTACTTCTGTAAATTACTTCCATTATTAAGAACTATGAGTGGGCTATATGCCAGGCTACCATCCTATTTTTTTAAATAATAAACTAAGATGAAATCACTTCTTAAATGTCACATATTGTCATCTTATGTGTGAGCTTACCTTTACAAACCTATATATTAAATGATTTTATTCATTTCGAGCAACATTGACATATATAAATCTGTAGTCTTACAAAGCAAGACGAATTGAAAACTTCTCTATTAATTAAACTTTTACACAATATTTATTCACGATGCATTTTGTGACATTAAGAAATGTAATATTAAATGGTCTGTTATAAGATATGAACCAACTTGGTACTCTTATCAGTAAAAATCACTTCAAGTGATTTTTATTTTGTATTTGTTTATGAACATTCAAAATTTATTTCTTTTTGTGTGCAAGCAACATTTTTATGATCAATATAACCTTCCATTTTCAACTGAAATTGCTGCATTACTAGTAGTAGGATTATGTTTGATTTTTCTAGGATTTAAAAGAAGACAGAGCTCATATTATTACTAACTTTGCATAAAAGAGGTTTTTGATTAGATTCATAGCTCTATAGCTACAACAACAAAAAGTCAGTGCTGATTTCTCTGTATGCAAACCTAAAGCTATGTGGTCTATGGAATGCCAAAATATAAGCGACACAATACAAGATTGACAGGGAACCAATCACCTAGTTTTTTTTTCATTCCTTTTCTGCATGGGATTTACTTATTCTATAAAAATCTTCCATTAACTATTAGTGGCAAAATAACCATGTTTATGTTAGTCATTTTACAAATTTTGCAATATGCATTACATTTTACAGTATAAGATATTTGCAACATGCATACCATACGACTCAGTATATACTCATAGAATCTCTGTTCTTATATAGTAAGAGAATTTACAACCATCCCTCATATGTAAACCATGAAAAAAAGGACTCACTTTGAATTACAGGGTCATCGTGTCCGGTCGGGTGGTTGCGTTACAAGACCTTTCGTGAAACGAAAGTGGGATTATATCATGCAACGTTTATAGATTTGCCATATAGTTTTCTCAAAGTGTCTAGTAAAGTGAACCAGACCATTTGTAGATGAGAGGGGTTTATTTCACAAACATTAACCCAAACATTTCGTGAATAAAGGGGCATGCTTTCATAAAAGGACAGGTAGCGCGACCGCCCGACCCAGCGCGATGACCAAATGAAGCAATAAGCCTTACAAAAGTGCTTCTCATAAAATACTTCCTCCGTTAAAGGTACTGTTTAGAATTTTGGACAATTATCCGCTCTCAATCCAACATCTATTGACAAGTAAAGAATTTTGTGAAAATTTCTGTAAGAAACTGCAATTTGTAGGCAATTAATGAACCTTTTACAAAGTGCATTTTACAAACACACTTATACAAAACACTATGAGAAAGAAACAGTGTCAAATGAGTCATCTCAGGATTTAATGAAAATAAATCGACATTGAGCTTTCCTTTTTTTAATTGTGCATGATTCACACACTATCATTTTCCATCCCAAAATTGTAAACAGTACCTTTAATCAACTTATAGCCATTCGCCAATATAATTCAACAAAACTCAAGTAACATAATAATATACAAATAATAACAATTTTTAGTCCTTCTATTATTTCAAACTGAAACAAGTCATATTTTGTCTTGAATGACAAATGTATAGATCAATTTTATAGACAAACAGTACGTCCTAAATTGATATAACATTCATACACACTGATATGAAAGGAATTATATGAAAACAGTAACAAAATAATATGAATACAGGTGAGAAGTACGAAACAGAATGAACCCATTGCCCGCTGACATCTAGAAAGGAATAACACCTTCTGGGTCTTAAAGCCCCACTGCACTATTTATACCCTGCGCCCTCTATACAACCAAAATGCCTAAGCGGTACCCGTTGGTCCCCCATGATGCCACTTTTCTGACGTTAATTGAGAGCTGATTTGATGAGATAACCACCTGTCAGTGACCTTGCAGGGAGGTCTAATCCCTCCATGCCACACTAGTGCAGAGGAGCTTTAACAGACAAAATATTCTCGTAATAATATCAGGTTCATATAATATTTTTCTTTCAAATAGGCCTACTTGTGCACTTGAACAATCATCCAAACTTGCCAGGCTCCCATGATAGTGGATATTAGGGACTTTTAGATTTGTATGTCGGCATAGTGGACTGCTATACGTGTGACGTCCTTATAAGGCACTGGTAGTGCCTTAAAAGGACGTCACACGTAGCAGTCCACTATGTCGACGGGCCAATCTAAAAGTCCCTAATAACATTTCTGAATCCTTGAATTACTTTTCTTCGCAGAAGTTCCTCTGTAATATGACAAGTAGATAAACTATCAACCCAATAACTACTGAGTTCAACAGGGACCACTCGGTTCCAGTGGATAATGGGTTTATTAAAATGAAGTAGGATAAAAAGGGGAAAAGCCTGATAGTTTTTAAAGAAACCAATCAGAGTTTACAACAAGAAAAAAAATCGAACCAAATGAGGAATCATGAGAGAGTCACAAGAACTTGAATTGAATAATATTATTGAGTTGAATAATATATTTGTAAAGTGCATTAAGCGCTATATGAAAGCAATATATTATTATTACTGTTAACAATTTAAACTGATTTAAAATATGAATGTCAAAAGGTTCAATAGGAATTTTAAATGAGTTAATAATTAATATATGTTACACATAATTATCATTTCAAACAAACTTTACAAAAAATATACTATTCCCTTTACCTAGTATTCTGCAATATAAAAACAAAGAAATGCCCAGACTTACTTCAAAAAATTTTAAAAAGAGTGCCTCAATCATCCATTGACTAACTTTGTTTAGAAATTAACAATGATACAATCCACTCATAGCTAACTTTGTAAATCATTACATTTCCAGCTCTCTAATCCTTTAATCAAATCATGTTAATGAGAGGGGAAGAGGGAGAAAGGAATGCAAAAAGATGATGATAGGACGCCCCTCCCCTCCCACACACACACACACCCTCCTAAATCAGTGGCCTTGTTAAAGGTAAAGACCACTTCTGGTCACGCCATTTCATTGTAAAAGAAACGATGTGGAATCGATCAGTAAAGGTAGATCATCTAGCATATAAGTATTGGTGTGTACTGCAAGGTTCTGGAATCATCAAAATGATAAGAAATTTGGCCCAGTCTTGGTAAAGTTACAAGCACTGTACACAGAAAGATGTATAATTCATATGGGACTACGCGACACGTGCACGATATCTATTCGGTCCTGATAGATATATGATTTACCAAATATATCAATTAGTAGGCGGTTTTCCGGCAAAATTTGTATCATCACGTATTAGTCAAAACATATTCTTTCACATGATTGGTAATAAGAGCTTCCATTTTATATTTTGAGAGGGGGGCGTTTCTAAAACTGGTCTACACCTTTAATTCCCATTTCATCCACCTCATAAAACTAATTTCACTTCCATGGTTCCACAGCTCCATCAATGCCTGGCCCATCGAAGAGATCTGCTCATTGCATCATTTATAATACAGATTAATACTCTTTTTTATTACTTAAATCTATATTGTTAAATCATGAACATGATAGCCCTTTTTACATGTTATTGCAATTTAGTAAATGTACAATTAGTTTACAGGATTAATTTAATCAAAACCATTACAGAAATTTGTCTAAATATTCACAATTAACGTTATAATGGTTATGTAAATAAAATATAAACTTATATGCTCCGGACCTACATGTATGAGTGAACAGCTTATTTGAGACCAAACTGTTTTAAAGATTATGTTATTAAAGGCAGAATACTTTGGCTACATAAAAAGAAATCAGTTTCTTGAAAGATTTATTGGACGGAAAAGTAGAAGATAGCAGACCAAGAGGGAAACAAGGAACCAACTAGGGGAGACATTAAGACATGGAGTGGAATGACACTGCAAGCATGTACTAGGATGGCAGAAAACAGAGATGGGTGGAAACATGTTGCAATCAACCTCCGAACTGGGAGAATATACCTTGATAGATAGATAGATAGATAGATAGATGGATAGATTTGATATATCAAACCTGTATCATGTGTGTTTTTGGGGTTTGAAAAGTCTGTAATGACTTAAACCTAACCAGTACTGCTTATGAATGCCATGGTTTAAATATCATTAAATAGACAAATAAACATATTAACAAAATAAATGGAATTATTTGACAGAACCATCTATGAAGGTACTATGTCTACATGTACCATACAGCAAACAAATTTCATTTTATATTAATAGGTTGAATTATTTGGTACCGGTATAAAATATCAATTCTATTTGTATCAAGCATGGAATAAAATATGATTAGACTTGATCATTACATGATGGGCGTCAATACAAAGATATAATTAAACTATTGAAATGCATACAAATCATCCTCTGTGTGGCACCAGAAGGGGGTTAACTCATATTCTTTAATACAGAGTTAATGCCCTCCTGGCTCTGAACAATCAAAGAAACTTGGGACCCGTTTCACAAAGCCTTTTTTTTCAATGACAAATGACAAAAAACAGTGACAAATCTGCTGATAACCAATCAGAAGCAAGGATTTCAATAGCTTATAACAAAAACTGTCATTTGTCACTGATGACAAGTTTCGTGAAATGGGGCCCTGCTTACATATGATGCACTAAACCACTTTCAAGAAAACACTGTGGCAAAATTATTTACTTTTAAATGCACTGCAAGCAGAGGTGAAGAGAGACAAACTGATGCACGTGACAAAAGCCCCAACAAGTACTCTGTTTGGCTGCTCCCAAGAAGGCAACTACTGCCATTGACAATACATAGCTTGTATTGCCTTTTTGGAAGCAGCTAACGATACTGGTGTACCGAGTGGTGACGTGTGCTGCGCTCATGGCCTTTCATTTTGCCACAGTGGTTCATACTGCGTCATATGTGAAAGGGGATTCAAAAATGAAACTGTGATGCTTTCTAAACTAATTAGACTGTGGGTGGACCTCCACTTTGATTAAGATGGTATTGTCTTTGATGAACAATCCTTCCTTTTCCAGGGATTCGATCGAAGCAAACTCCATGTAGCCGAATCCTTTATGATTGCGAGCCGTTTTGGGTTTTTTGAAAGCGTCCAGGTTACTCTTCGCTACCAACCTTTCGGTGATGTTCTTCTGTTTCAACTCCGGGTCAATGTTCTGGTCAACCAAGGACAGAGTTATTGACCCCCTAAAAGGCCATTCCAGGGAGCTATCATACTTCCCTTGCATGAAGTGCACAAAGAGGGAAATATACAGAACTTTCCGTGTCTCTGATTTGTTTATATTGACCCTGACACACAAGCGGTATCCACAAGAGCCTGTGTAGAACCCTTCACTATGTCTGACCATCGCTTCTCCTCGTTCCGCCGACACCCGTAGCTCTGAGTACTTACGCAACCGCCAGACGAAGATCCCATTGGCGACATGCTCACGTAGATCTTTAGTCTCTTCCTGCAGGCTATGAACCTCGTTTCTAAGAGTGGCTATCTCTGAATCTTTACGCGCTGCCTTGCTCTCGAGCTCTATCACCTTCTGTCTCATCCACACTTCTTTCTCTTGGAGATCTTTGACCGTGATCCTCAAGGCCCTGAACTGATCCATCGGATCAAAGGCTCCCGATCCAAAGCTGGGCATCACAGAAGGAGACGTCACGTAATTAGATGGACCTATCTGTGTCCTCACAAGCTGTTCAGGGTCTAGCTTCCTAGCTCCATGTTCATGAACATCCGTGATCTTACCCCCTGCAGCTGTGGCAAATTCACTCATCTGACTGTCATACGTTGCGCCCATTCTCCAGCTAGTTCCAGGGTAGCTGGTTGTTCGTGGAAGCTGAGTTTGTTGGTTCTGAAAATGAATAGCCATGAGCTGCAGGTGGGCTTCCATAGATTGAGAAACGTGTATTGCCATGCGTTCTTTAGGTAACTGCAATTAAAGGAAAGAACCGAAGGACCACAATATTAACACAGTTTCTGAAATGGCTTTGATAATAGAGTTGTCTTTTTAAGAAAAAAATATTATCATGCTAAAAGTTTCAAAATACCTGCTGTGACCATTAAAAAAAAAACTGTTTGATGAGCACTATACAAGAACCCATTATTATTATTTTATTTATCCCTTTGCATCGTTATTACACTTACCCTTTTACACCTAATTGTACCCGTAATATCCAACAGGCACCTGATAATATCCCTCGTGCATCTAATTGCACCCATATTACCCCAAAGCCTCCTATTTACACCCCAGTCTATTAAACCCCTTCTTGCACCCGATTGCATCCCTTTATACACCCCAAATGCACCTCTAATGCACCTGATCACACCCATTTGCACTTGATTGCCCCCCTCAGCCACCCCTTTTACCCCCTCTAAACAAGTGGTATCTCCATCCCAACCATACCATCTTACCCTCTCTGAGCAGCCGAATGAAGCAAACTGGCAAGGTACTGGTATCTCAGTGCAATCATGCTGATGATGAATGTGTAGATGATCAGATAACACCTCCTTATGACAATACTCACAGCTGATTGGACGCTTCGGACACTCCGCATGATGTCTCTGTTGAGCATGAGAAGAAAGTAAACATTAACCCTTCAGCTGCGACTAAGTAGCGCTTTATAGAGACTTCTGTGGTAAACGCTTTATAAGCACTGTCTTTTAATTATTATTATTATTATTATTAATATACAGTAGGCTTGCGGATGCACCATGTGAGAAAGAGGGAAGATTGAGGAGACCTGAAAAGGACTCTCAGTAATCTTTCTTGAGGGTTTATAGTCCTGAAAAGGACTGTTGGTATTTTTTATTAAGTTGACATTTTACAGACCTTTTCAAAATTTCAACAAGAGAAAAAGCTTTACTTTGCCTAAAACAATTATTGAATATAAAATAAATCTGGGTATCTAAACGACCTGTCTATGGTACCTGCCAAGAGGGCCTCCTAAATGAAAATGATAGGATAATTTGTTTCTGTACTATAATTGTCATGATCATTATTATTATTATCATTATTATATTATTATCACTATGACCCTCCGGTCTCTCCTCCTGGTATAACTGATATGGGTTCTGCAGGTTGACCACTACACCAGGGTTTTCCCCTACTCTTACAGAAATAGAGCAGTGGGTTTTTAAAGCACCACTGCACTACTTGTAGCTACTTGCTCCCTCTATATAAAAAACACAGACTACGCGGTGCCTGTTGGTCCCCCATGATTTTCTTTTTCTTATATTAATTGAGAGCTGAGTCGATGAGATAACCACCTGCCAGTGACCAAGCTGGAGCTCTAATCCTCTTGGCCAAACTAGTACAGACAGGCTTAAAGCCTATCTGCATTAGTTTGGCCAGGAGGGATAAGACCTCCCTGGGTGGTCACTGGCAGGTGGTTATCTCATCAAATCAGCTCTCTATTAAAATAACCAAAAGGGGACCATTGGGGATCAACGGGTACTGCTTAGGCATTGTTGGCTGTATAGAGGGCGCAAGTAGTGCAGTCCCGCTTTAATGTGCAGAAGTGATGGCTCTCCGCTACAAAGGGTCTCCATTTAATGTTAACCTCTAACCCCGTGTCCACACACATATGATATATGATGTTATATGATGAAATTGTGTGTGTGGACGCTTACAAATGATACGTCGTATAACGAAACGTCGTATAACGAAAACGATGCCCAAACATGCTTTTCGTTATACGACGTATAAAGAATCACGCCTAATCACGCCTATTAAATCACAGAGTGTGTTTGGTGTGGACGTAACTAGTATAACTAGTCGAACTAGAACGGTATAACTGTGCGGGGCTTAACGTGACCTCGAGCGAAAGGAGACCTGACCTCTCATTTCCGCTTCCATTTCATGATCGCAGTAGCAAACTGCGCACCTATAGGACATTTCGCTGTAGAGTTTCATGATTACTTTCTTCTGTGTGTGGACATCCTGGAATTTATACGATGATTCTTTATACAACGTTTCTTGTGTGTGGACACCCTGAAATTTATATGATGATTCTTTATACAACGTTTCGTTATAGAGTTTCGGGATAAATTGTTTTGTGTGTGGACACGCTGTAATTTACCTCCTTTTGATTGAAGCACAGAGGACCCCTGCAGTATGTGCATTCAATCAGTCTCCTAGGACACTCCTTCTCTACATGCCGATCAATGGATCTTCTTCTCATTGAAGCACCGCATTGGTTAGGGCATGGCTCTGTTCTATAGCTACAACTTTCCTTGTGGCTCTGAAAATCAGGAAAACAAAAATGGACTATCTTATGAGTTTCATAAATATATTTAAGGTAAATTCAAACTACATTGTATATAAAACGCAGACAAACTAAATATTGGTACAGTCAAACCTGCTTTAGTGACCACCTGTCTACAAAATCACATTTTTTGCTTCCCTTGAAAATGGTTTCTAATTGAAACATGTACTAAAGGAACCTGTCTACAAAGACCACTTTTTGTGTTTCACTTTGGCGGTTGCCTATATCAGCCTTTTTTTTTTCTGGAACAATATTTCACATTGACAAAATATGTATCTCCTGTTGAGAGAGGGACAACCATTCAGGTGGTATGGGAGGGGGGGGGTAGAGGCTCCCATGCCCCCCCCCCCCTCCCCAGCCAGGCCACTGGAGATACTGTAAGTCTTCTTCTTGTTCTTTAGTTGCAGTACAGGCCATCAGGTGTATTGTCGTACGTTTGAGGTGCAGTGCAGATGTGTATAATGTCTGATAAAAAGTTAACTGCGTAAAAACAACAAAATCGTTTTTAACGGAGCTGTACAATACATTATGGTGCATAGTGGCTCAGTGGTTAGAGCAACCCCTCATGAACGGGAGGTCGTGGGTTCGAACCCCGGCCGAATCATACCAAAGACTTATAACAATGGGACCTTCTGCCTTCTAGCTAGGCGCTCAGCATATTAGATTGGAGAAGGGTAGTAATAACATATTATGTTATGCAGGGCCCGCTGGAAGAGCAGTTTCATAACTGAAGTGGCTACCCTGGGTAAATAAAACATTATTATTATATTATATTATACAGGTCTTACCTCAATATCCCTGAGCTCTAGAAGATCTGGACAGTCCTGATATGGGCACCTTGCCTGAAGGTCTAGGATCTCTCTTCTTACACACACATCTGGAAACATCTATATAAAAACAAAAAAACAGATCAATTAAAAAGTTGAGTTTTACAATGTACATACCGGTACTTGGATGTGATGGTTATTTTACCTGACTGCTAAGGAAGCATAAATGCTTGTAAGTATTAAGCAACCAGACGGCCGACGGCTTAAGGTCCTCTCCGAGGGACCTGGTAGTGAGGATTAATGCCTTACCAAAGGGCACTAGCGCATCGCCTTGGTTTTAAACCCGGGTCAACGGATTACAAGACCACTGCTCTACCGACTGAGCTATCGCGCCTCCACATGTACATCTCTTCTCAGTAAGTTCATTAGCGTTCATTCCTAGTGTCTGCCACAAAGGTCTGGAATGGTCATCAGGCATTCATTCCTATTGGCTGCCACAAAGGTCTGGAATGGTCATCCATGTTCATTCCTAGTGGCTGCCACAAAGGTCTGGAATGGTCATCCATGTTCATTCCTAGTGGCTGCCACAAAGGTCTGGAATGGTCATCCATGTTCATTCCTAGTGGCTGCCACAAAGGTCTGGAATGATATTCCGTGTTCATTCCTAGTGGCTGCCACAAAGGTCTGGAATGGTCATCCATGTTCATTCCTAGTGGCTGCCACAAAGGTCTGGAATGGTCATCCATGTTCATTCCTAGTGGCTGCCACAAAGGTCTGGAATGGTCATCCGTGTTCATTCCTAGTGGCTGCCACAAAGGTCTGGAACGATCTTCCGTGCTTTGACCTAGCAGCTCTCTTCAAAGAATCCTCAAAGAAATTGCTCAAGACACATCTCTGCAATTTGAAGAACTAGCCTTTCTGATGTACATGTCAAATGATTATTGAATGAACACTGCAAATTACTTCTTAAAATATTGTATTAACTACATATGATGAGAGGTGTATACCTACAGAGTTTAACTGATTATATACTATATTTTGGAGCCAGGACCAAGAGCGCCAAGATGGCAGATAATGGTGCTATAGAAGACATCATTAGTATTACTATTATTATTAAGAATAAAACAGTATCAACATCCCTTTTGCAATATGCATGATACATCCTGTCTCAATATCTCAACTTTCTTCCAGAAGTGCCTTTAAAATACTCTAATAACTCTATGCACAAAAAATATCTCCTCATGGATGTACTGGATGTTTTTCGATAGGATGGAGGGGTGGGGAGGGGGGGGGGGGGGTTAAAGGCATGAACTCAAGAGAGCCTTAAAGCGGGACTGCACTACTTGTAGCTACTTGCACCCTCTATAGCCTATATAGCAAACAATGGCTAAGCGGTGTCCGTTGGTCCCCCACGATCTCTTTCTTAATGTTAATTGAGAGTTGATTTGATGAGATAACCACCTGTCAGTGACCCTGCAGGAAGGTCTAATCACTCCTGGCCAAACTAGTGCAGACAGGCTTTAAGCATGAAAGGCGACATGAATGTGGATGCAAACTGAGTCAGCAGTACTAGCCTGTGGGCGGCCCAACTATGAACATGATAGAAGCATCTCTTACTACAGAATGCAGACAGATTATACTGGACTGGCAAGATGTGGGAACATGCACAGAGGCTGTAATTTGCTCTAAATGTTGCTAATATCTTGCCCTCTTAGAGCCTTTGCCCTATTTCCCTTTTTCCCTCTTTGCACCCTCAAGGCTTGTTTAAATACAAACCACCGCAAAAAGCCACCACAGTTTCTTTACATTTGAATGTGAATGGTAAGTGTATGCAAACAAAGGTTTCTTGAGCATATTTACCCACATACAGAAATGTGACGGTGTGTTACACTTAACGACATCATTCAAAAATACCATGGTTTGCAGAGTCATATCTGAACAAGCCTTTAAAGGCACACTGTCCTACTTGTAGCTACTTGCTCCCTCTATATAGAAAACTTCCCCAATTGGTGCCTGTTGGTCCCCCATGATTCTCTTTTTCTTATGTTAAATGAGAGCTGAGTTAATGAGATAGCCACCTGTCACAGTGACCTCGCTGGCTCGCTGCGTGGTCTCATCCCTTCTAGCTGAAGTAGTAAAGCCTGCCTTTAAAGGACATGCATGTTGCCTTTTTTAAAATTATTATTTGTTATTTATTTTTATTTATTTATTTATTTATTTTTATTTTTTTTATTGTTTTTTGTTTTGTTTTTGTTTGTTTTTGTTTGTTTTTTTTTTGGGGGGAGGTCCCAATTACCGGACGCTATTAAGGAAATATCACTAAAATAAACAATCACAATCAGGCAAACACACATGGGGAAAAACCTCTTTGTCAATAAACAAATAATCTTGCCTTATTTTTGTACTTATGAAACTTGAAACATTGACTTGTGGCATTTCAAAATGTCAAACTACATGACGGTAAACTATTTTGCTGTACTGTTATCGCTTTCATAACAACAAAACTAACACTTACTTGGCCAAACACGAATTCCACCTGGGGAATTCTGTTTACAAAATGTGGGAAAATCCCTTCTCAATGAAACCATACATGCAACTGAACGCCGCATGCAACCACACGGTCCTAAATTCATTTGTTGTTTTATTTTCTTATTTGCCTAATATCTACGAAGAGAATATATGAGTAAAAAGAGGAATTATTTTTGAAATAAAGTACATAATAGCATTCCAATGAAATGGTATGTAGGTATTCTGACCTTTCTATTGGTATGACATATATATATATATGGAGATCCAGCATTTCCTTATTTCAGGCTTTGTACAATTAAAGGGCTTACATTTTGATGACAGCTTTAGGTTAAGTTATGGTGCAATAATTCTAGTGTTAGGGTTAGATTCATCATAATGTTGTCCAGGGATATGCTGAGGATTGTTATTAGTGTGGCAAAATAACTATGGATAAAGTCGATGACAAGCATTAATCTTTTGAACAACATTCAACCATATTCTACCTAATGCCAACAAGTTTGTTTCTACATGACTCTTAGGATATAACAAATAATAATATGCTACGGGTACTCCTAATTACAACTTCAAAGGTAAGATTTACTATATGTATACAAGCGACTGACCATGCATTAAACCACACTATCACAACGTAAGTCATGATCTTTTACCATTGACCAAATAAAACCAAACTTAAAGGTAATACAAAGTTTTGGTATTGGGTCATGAATTTGGTTCAAATGAACATATTGGAAGCATATCCTACAATATTCAGTGATCGTTGTCGCGGTCGAAATCGACTCTAAAGTTATGAAATTTTCAATAATAAACACTTTAAGTTGAATAGCTCCCTCTCAAGGTCAAGATATTAATTAAGTTATAAAACAATGTTTGTTGACTAAAATCGACCGATAAGCTATTCTCGTTCGGAAATTATATACCACAACTACATACTCTGAGATTTTCATGGTCGCAGCTACCATTGTATACGGCCGTAGGAGCTATTTAAAATTTATCAAAATTTATCGGGAGCACCGGTAAATCTTTATATTCGATTTTTCTCGAAAGCAGAAACGTTTTAGGGGCTAAAATTTCTGGTGTTTTTAATTCATCTACAGGGGCATTCAAATATATCAAAATTGTAAAGAATCACTATCCACCCATTTTTCAAAATTTCCCAAAACTTTGTAATACCTTAAATGGCAGAGTAACTTTATTCTACACTAACTTCTTAGTGAGATTTGGTTTGGCTATATCTGTATTCAATGACATGTTTCTGTAGTACATGTACAGTGTATAAAGATGTTTCCTGGATTCCTTCACATATAACTACTACATGTACAAATGTTGTTTTTCTTCCACACAGACCTAATGCCCTTCTGGCTCCAAACAGATAATCAACATGTCATCTAAGCTTTTTATGGCATCATAAAATTCCACGAAGTATTTGTCAGTCAAACGATGAGTAATTATCAACGCAGTTTCATTTCCGTAATAAAACTTCTAATGGATCAATCCGTAGAGTTTCTTAAACAAAAACAGTTTTGAAGGGCAAGATATAACTGTGACTCTCCCTCTCCCTTAAAAAAAGAGTAGATTTCACATCCATGCACTGGTGCCTTCATGCATGAGGATAGGCTGATAGAGGCTGCACAGAAGAGCAAAAAAAAAAAAATTCCTCTGAAAATGTAGATATTTGTCTTTTCTACAATTAAGATACAGTATTCAATAAACAAAGTTGCTTTGCATTATTGTTCATGTTATAGAAATAAAGAAGGACAAAATAATGAACGTACAATGTAGACCTACATGTACATGCATGTATGACTGTATGTAGCTCTCTTTCTGTCTCTCCTTCTCTCTCTTTTTCTCTCTCTGTCTGTCTGTCTGTCTCTCTCTCTCTCTCTGTTGCTCTCTGTCTGTCTGTCTCTCTCTCTCTCTCTCCATCTCTCCTCTCTCTCTCTCTCTCTCTCTCTCTCTTTCTCTCCCTCTATGTTTTTAGGTCTCTTTCTGTCTCTCCTTCTCTCTCTGTCTCTCTCTCTCTCTCTCTCTCTTGCCCCCCCCCCCTCTCTCTCTCTCTCTCTCTCTCTCTCATATTATCAGCTGCTTCAATGGATGGGAATTCCCCTGACTTTCTAAACATGTTCCACAGGGTACGGACTCCAACAGGAAATCAATTAATAATAATAATGTATTGTTTGTGTAATAGGCGATACAGCCCTGGAATTGGAGAGCTTTAAAGATAAACTTGAGTTCTGGTAAAAAAAAAAGTAAATGAATTCTCACAGAATCAAACAAAACTTACACTAAATGTTCAAGATTACAAATAAATATGTCATTCGCCAAACAATTTTGGTAGAAAATGTATACTGGCTGAGTAATGAGCATAGAAAGATAATGAACCTAAGTAAGTAGGTCAGACACCATTTGTGTAGTCCCATATTCACCCAAATACTTTAACATGTACATGTACATGCTACATGATCAACTTTTTCTGATCCATTCCACACCTTTTCTTTCACAATGCAATCACATGACCAGAATTCAACTTTATCTTTAAGTGAGCTCCGAAAGAAAGTTACACACTTTGGCCCGTATTCTGAAGTCGTGTCTAACCCCTGTTTAACTAAACAGTTGTCTAAGTCCTGTCTAAGTCCCGTCTAACTTTAGACACGAAGTCGTGTCTAACTTTTTTGGTATTCTGAAGTCATGTTTAAATAAAGTTAAACAAGAAGTCCTGTCTAAGTCCTGTTTAACTTTAGACAACTGCGAGGGGTTGTTTAAGTCCTGTTTAAGGGCGCGATTCTGCTGCTTTTCAACGTCAACGGTACACTCTACTTGCGGGGGAGAACGATGGTACGTGCATTCTCTAAAATTTCAAATACGTTTTGCAGGATTTTTTCTCGTGTAGCCTAATTTTTTTTCTCGATAATATTAACTATTCTTATCTACTGGTGACATCTTGGAAATTCCATAATCTATAATAAACTAACCATTCTGTTGGAGAAGTTTCTTTTCTGGTTCTTCCGAGCACTGAGGCACCGATAAGTAGTGTGTTTGTCAATCTCAGTGTACAGTACCAGTACGTGTACTACGTACGTACTACACAAAGTACATGCAGTCTAGTCATTACATCACGATCATATCACCATGGTACAAGCACGCGCACAGCTAGCTGTGCGCGTTAATTTATTTATCCGGTGCGCGCACGCATGCGCATTGGGTCTTACGTCAGAATTAACGCCTACTGGGCGTGCGCAGAAGTCGTGACTAAAAGTTAAACACGACTTGCGCAGAACTTAAACAGTTGTTTAGTTAAACACCACTTAGACAGGACTTAAACAGTTGTTTAGTTAGACAAGACTTAGACACGACTTCAGAATACGAAATTTAGTTAGACAGGAGTTAGACACGACCTCGCGTCTAAGTCCTGTCTAAGTCGTGTCTAACTAAACAGTTGTTTAACTTTAGACGTGGCTAAGTTAGACACGACTTCAGAATACGGGCCATTATATTCATGATGCATACTAGTGCAAACCATTAATCCGAAATGTTCTCAAATGAACCAAAAGTTATAAATACTAGGTCTGTATTACACAAGCTTTATATTGAGTAATGAAAAACTATCTTCACTGATCCTGTAAAAATGCCAACGAACAGGGACCACTTCTTTCATATGGCCAAAGATACAATGTACATGTTAGCCCCATCAAAAGCATTAGAACTCAACTACAGTATACTCTATTGCAGTACAGCATACATGTATGTGTATTTTGTCTATACAGTAGTAGTAATATTAATTGAAAAAGAGGATACACAGATGCACTCATCCAAAACAACACTGAAATCTCATAGTGGCAGCTTGCACTTACTGAATTACAACACGGTAGGTTTAGGGAATCCCCCTATTCTTAACAATCTGATCGCTTATCAATACTGGCATACTAGCTCAGTCGAACAGGACATGAACTTAAAGAGCACAAACAGAGTTGATCAAGGTCTTCTTGGCTCCTCAAGGTTCTCTACAAGGAAACTGATGATCAGTTTACAAGTAGCGTTGAAAGTTCTCAAAAAGGGCAAACATATCTTAAGTAGGTCAGGGGTATCTGTGTAGTGTGACATACTTTCATTTTCCTCTTTCGATACAAGCTATTCTTGAGCTCTGGTATGGGCATCCGGGAATGTCGAGAGAACATGGCTATAATTCATTCTGGATTGTTTATCCTGCAGTAGATTGGTTGTTCAAACTAGTAAAATAAAAACAACCTCACACGAACTTGCTGGAAATCATCTTCACTAAAAGCCACAACCTTCATTTGCACATACCGGTAGTGACCTGTGTTTAGCAAATGGTGTCATGTACCTTGGTTTCCTTATCTTTCTATGCTCATTACTCATCCCCTATACATTTCCTATCAAAATTGTTTGGCACATGTCATTTATTTGTTATCTTGAACATTCGAGCATCCCCCCCCCCCCAATTTTTTTTTTTTTTTTTTTTTTGTTGTTGTTTGTTTTCCCTTTGACTTTTCACCATCACAGAATACATTGAAAGTCAATTGAAGGTCAAAGAAAGAATGATATTCATTGAATGGTCATAAAGTCGGCGCATGTAGAATGTTACTATTGTTAAAATTATTGTTAAGTGTTATATCCTGGTCAGAACCTGAATGATAGCGATAAGGCGATAACTAGAATTTCAATAAAGGCTCGTCCAAATTAAGATAAATTGAAATTTTACATGGTATTTTACAAAAGAACCGTAATAATCTAAATAAGTAAGTGATAAATATACAATGTACACAGACAAGCAGAACTTAGAGTTAAATAAGACATTGCATGATTATCAACATTAATAACAGATTAAAGGGTGAGAAGCATTTCCAGAATTTGAAAGCAATAAAGGGAAAGTCCACCCCCAAAATAAGTTTGTTTCGATAGAGGCAGAATAATAAGAAAATCAGGTGAGTGAAAGTTTGAGCAAATTCTGAATGAAAATAAGAAAGTTATGAATTATTGAAGTTGTGATCAATCTAATACAAATTGGCAACTCTGTGACTTATTATACGAGCTCTCCTTCATTTGCTTTGTGCATAATATTCCATAAAATCATGTTTTCTTCGTTATTGATGATGGAATATATATATTTGTTCCTTGCAGGGGGAGTATAGAAACATATTTGCAATTATTATATTTAGGGTGCATGTATGGTTGAAATTTTTCTTGAGGGAAAATGAAAATTTTAGATTTTTTTAGTACTGAGCAAATGGAAGTTGAGCTCGCATGATACGTCATAGAGTTGCCAATTTGTGCTTGATTGATCACAACTTCAAAAATCCTAACTTCCTTATTTATAATCGGAATTTGCTCAAACTTTCACTGACTTGTTTCTCTCATTTTTCTACTCCTATTAAAACTAACTTAATTTCAGGGTGGACTTCCCCTTTAAGAGAGAGAGAGAGAGAGAGAGAGAGAGGGGGGGGGGGGGGGCTGCACAGAACCGAAGTCCGACATGGGTTCCATGCTCAAAGTTTTAAGTTATTCTATATTTTTGTCTTACTCCTTATCAGCTGGCCTACAGAATGCCTGTTAAAGTTTTTTAAGTTGATTTCATACATTCTAGCCGTACATTAAATTTTTTTTTTTTTTTTAAATCACAATTTTTTTGGGGGTGATTGGTATGCTTTAACATTGTAGTTAGTTTGACCTCACAACATTATGATTATATGCACTTTGCATTCAGCACAATCAGTACCAGGTAATCACATCTGAATATGAAAGCTTGCCAATCACTATGAACATGACGGACAAAGAAAGAGAACAAAATATACAGTTCCTCATTCTACCCTCAACAATTGCTGTGGTAGACAAAGGAACATCCCTTCACTGCTATTACAAGTAATGTGTAGAACAGGTGTCACATGCATATTCACCTGTGCTACTTATTTTTACATAATAGCAGTGAAGGGATGTTCCTTTGTCTACCACAGCAATTTTTGAGGGTAGAATGAGGAACCGTATATTTTGTCCGCTTCCTTTGTCTGTCATGTTCATACTGAAAGCTTGTCATAAAGCGTTAACAAATGAAGCATGCACCAACTTTGAATGCCTTAATTAGGAAATGGAAGAGTGAAAAGTTGCGTAGTCAAGACAACTCGCATGGACTCAACATGGTCTTTACACATGGGGGTTTCCCCCATTTTGTTGAAGGATATCTTATTCATATCAGAAAGAAATGTCACCTCAAATTCTTGAAGCTATTGACATAAGGTCACTTGTCACTAAATGTGTGAAGAAAGGGGAAATTTGTTCCCTTTTTCATTAATTATTGAACTTTGGTTGAACTCACAAAGTCTATCACTGATCCTCTCTTATATTTATAACAAAATAATATATTTCTGATATTGATAGTCAGATTTATCTGTACAGTGGAACCTAGTTAAAACGAGGTCCTTGGGACCAAGGAAATTACCTTGTTATATCAGGGTAAAAAAACAAAAGAATATAAAGAGCTGGGACCAGCAAAACCACCTTCTTATAACCTCATTATAAATCAGGGCTCTTTATAACAAGGTTCCACTGTACAGTAACATGAATGAAAAAGTCTAATACAAGTGAGCTCATTTATGTCATGCTTTCAGCAAAGCATATGTTCCTTTAAAACATTTGGATGTTATGGTTACCATGTATTTGTCGATAAATCCACATCTTTAAAAAAAAATGCAATCAGGTATTTGACATATGCCCTGAAAAATGCAGGCTAGATTACACCCTTTTTGTCTTGGCATTTAGAAAATCAAAAACCCTTAATTCCAAATGAATGTTGATTTCTGTCTAAGGGAGAAAGATAAAAGATGAGAAATAAAGAATCTCCCATTTTTTAGATTTTTAATATACATGTACATTAAAATACAGCTTCCTATCGTCCAACAGTCGTGGTAGACCGGACTGTCGATCACAAGGTCCGCATTTTCATTCCTGCCGTGGCACTTATATGTCCTTTGGCAAGACATTGATCTACATTTGCCACACTCAACCCAGGTGATAGGTACCTGGCAGGAATTAATTCCTTGAAATGCTGGAACGCTGTAATGGCAGCCATGCTCAAGCCAGGAGTGTCAAGTCTGACAGACAGGAGCGCTATACAAGAACCCACTATTACTACTATTATTATAAATAGTTTCAATCGCAAGCAGAATTCACTTGATATCAAAAGCATATTTGACTGTATACATACTGACAAATAATTCTGCATAACATCCTTTTTATGACAGCTATATATACAATGTAATACTCACCTGTGCCTCTGTAAGAGATACATTATCAACTGGGCAGCGTAAACCAGCATTCCTATGGGAGAGAGAGACAGATATATATCAAACTATATATCATAAACAAAAGTGATTGACAAGTACGTATAAATCATAATGCTATGTATAATGACAATACTGATTATGAGAATGATGATGGCAGTGATGATGATGATGATGATGATGACGACAATGATTGATTTTTTTATTTTTTATTTGAAATTAAATAAAGAACCAACAAAATAATCATAATAATACAATAATAATAATAATAATATTAATACTAACAATGACATCAAGAAAACAACAATAATATTATTCATACACATACATGTACATACACTATGTACTTACTTCACAAAATAATTTGGCAAGTACGTATCTCTTTAAACAGTCTACTATCTCTTGGTTATTTTGTAACCAGCATTTCCCCTCTATCAATGTATCTTCATCTGTTCTCATATTACATGTACACACATATGCTCGTTTCTGGTAACTGTAAAAAGATATTGTACGGTAAGCTTTATCAGCTGTGATCTAACTTTATTTTGTAAACAAATTAATATTTTGATCGACAGGCTGTCCGCAGTGCCTCTAATTTGATTTTGCGATAACAAACATTCTCAATGCATCATAGCAACTTTAGCAAGTCGTCTAGCTTAAAGAGCTGCAGTATAGCATGAGAACTTGAGAAGTATGGGGAAATTCCCTTCAAAGTTACTTGAATATTACTTGCAGATTTAAGAAGTTAACAAGGTAATAATGCTACTGTATTTGTAGTACACAATGTAGCATGAGATGGAGAAGATTGGGGAAATTCCCTTCAGTTGCTAGCTTACTCAAAGCAGGGTAAGGAGATAATGTCATGAAAGACAATAAAATGACTATTGTTGGAACAACACACTGTTCATAGTATAGAAATTGATTTTCTTGGAATATATATGTTTTGAAATTCAATTAGCATATTCTTCTCATTCCAATATGGTGAATAATCACGGCGTTTGGACAGATGCACAATTTTTTTCATCTGAAACTATTACCTTAAAAAGAAATGAATTGTTAACGTTTCAAATCCATATCAAACACAATACGAGAGTAAATTACTTTGTTCGTACATATGTATTATCTGTGATGAGCTAGAAAATTAAAAAAGGAAATTTCCCTGAATGTACTTGTACAACTTCAAGCACAAAGCAAAAGAACATTAAGCGATTAGTATGGTTTGTCATGAAAAGAACAGAAACAAAACTTCATGTAATTATCTCAGACATTTCCACAAAGAACCCTCACAAGTTAATGCATTAGGCTATTAGGATCCTTAATCAATGTTTTGGAATCGCCGCCCTCTCAAAAAATGAAATGGAAGCTCTTATTACCAATCATGTGAAAGAATATGTTTTGAATAATACGTGATGATACAAATTTTGCCTACTAATTGATATACTTGGTAAATTTGGACCTGATAGATATCGCGCACGTGTCACGTCGTCCCATATACATCTTTTTGTGTGCAGTGCTTGTAACTTTACCAAGACTGGGCCAAATTTCTTATCATTTTGATGATTCCAGTACCTTGCAGTACACACCAATACTTATATGCTAGATGATCAACCTTTTCTGATCGATTCCATAACGTTTCTTTCACAATGCAATCGCATGACCAGAACTGGTCTTGGTTTTAAACAGGCAAGGTGACATGTCCATCCCACTTTAAGGGGGGGGGGGGAGGGGCACTCCAATTCTGCACATGTAGAGTAAGCCAATCAATTGCCCCGGCATCACAAGGCTTTTTGATGTATGCTAAATGTAGTTTGGAATGAGGAAATACAGAAGCTTAAATTCAAATAGAGTTCCAGCTCATTACTTTGCTACCTAAAGGGCTGCTAAATGCCATCATTCAACGCTTTCATTTCCTTTCAGACTAGTGTAAACGGTCCATTACTGAATAATATTAGTCTCTGTTTGAACGTGAGCTGTTATAATTATCCACAGAAAATCATCTCTGCTAGATACCAGCCTTTAAAGCCCCACTGCACTTGTTATAGCTACTTGCGCCCTCTATATAGTTAATAATGCCTAATCGGTGCCTGTTGGTCCCCCATGATTCCCTGTTGTTATTTGCGAGCTGATTTGATGAGATAACCACCTGTCAGTGACCTTGCAGGGAGGTCTAATCCCCCCTGGCCAATCTAGTGCTCTAGTTTCCTGTCAAACAAGAGCACACTGGGCATTCTCATGGATAAACATAAAATAATGCATGATTTTGAGTGAGCTCTGAATATTCCAGAGAAAAATTGAGATATCTCATTACTGATTTTTTTTTAATGGGGGGGGGGGGGGGGGGGGTTGCCTACCAAATTTCACAGACAGGGGAAAAGGATACAGTGTGGATTACTAAGGACATCTTAGGTGCACACACGTACCATGCTTGTACTGATGGATGATTTACTTGTGTAGCCTACATAGACATGTACCAGCAAAAAATACTTGCAGTGGTCTAGCAGAAAACGAACAATGTGTTTCCAGAAACTGTGTTTTTATGAACTAAAGCGATTGGCATCACTGGTATCTTATTATGCACTTCATATTTACGACAATGAAACAAAGTCTGGACCCCCAAAATTTCGGCATTGTAATGAAGGGTATGTACTGTATGCATGTACTAACTCTATAAATTTCATCCTTGACCCCATTTCACAAAACTTGTCATCAGTGACAAATGACAGTTTTTGTTATAAGCTAGTGAAATCCTTGCTTATAATTGGTAATAGCATGTATTTGTCACTGATTCTTGTCATAGTCTCCTTAAAAAAGGCTTTGTGAAACAGGTCCCAAGAGCCCCTTCTAGGAAAGTAAGAGTGGAGCCCTGCAGAAGGGCAGACAATGATGCAATTTTGAGTTGATAAAAAGTCTCCTTTGTTAAATACTTAACAATCCTAAATGGATTTATCTACAGAGCTTTCAATATATAACCAATATTTGATATGTATACTGTAAAAGTAGAAATATTTGCAGTATATTACATGTAATTTCCATGGATTTTGCACTAAGATCGACAAACGCGGATTGTACAACTCACATGTTTTGAACAGGATGAATTGCGTGCAACACAAATTAAGAACCGTCAAATATGTTTTGGGGTCGCTCAGCGCGAAAAATTATTCACACGAAAATAAGAGCGTTTACAGTATGCTATCTTGTGAACGCTATAGATATGTGTAATAAAATTCCATGAAAGGGTTAAAAGAAGAGGAAAAAAATATTAACCAATATGACAAACCTGAGACACCTTTTGATACAGTCTGAGCAGAAGCGATGTCCACACTCCGTCTGAACAGGGTCCCTGAGACACATCAAACAGATCGGACACTCATATTTTGGATCTAGAGTGGGTTCAAAATGATAGTCATACCCACTAGGGAGGGGCGATTCCGCACCCCTATTAGGGCTCCTTAAGAGAGGCAACGGCCCAGTCACTTGACACTGGTTACCGTCGGGGTTAAAGGTCATACCGACATGACCTTGGATTGTCGCCGGGATGTGACCAAAGTTCCTGTAGTAAGCTTCCGGGATTGGGGGCGGTCCCGTCGGTTGTTGGACGTCATGACGACCCCCGGTCGGTGAGCTGTAGCCACGTTGAATCCCTCGTAGCTCATTAACGTTCGGTGACTGAGGACGCCCTACGTACCGTGGGTCCAGGCCGGGATCACTATTACATGGATATTGGCCACTCATGATGTCCTTTTCATTCTCACTGGGAAGGACATTGTGGGTGGAGCCTATAGGTGGGTGGAGCCTCTGAAAAGAGTAGACATGGAAAATGAAGAGAGAAAATTACTCTTTTGTTCAACTGAGCTTTGTATTTGCCTTTGGAAGCAAAGCAATTATATATACATTCAAACCTGCTTTAGTGACCAACTGTCAAGTTCAAGTTCATTTATTTATTTCATTTTCATAAAAAACACAAATTCAAATAAACATACAAAGAATGTTCAGTTAAATAATTTCAAATGGAATGGGAGAACAAAGGAAAAGCCCATGGTGGCCTTGTATAAAAATTTCCCCGAATATTATCTACAAAGACCACCTGTCTACAACAAGCACATTTTTTGTTTCCCTTGAAAATGGTTTCTCATTGTAACATGAACTAAAGGAACCTGTCTACAAAGACCACCAGTCTACAAAGACCACTTTATGTGTTTTCCTTGGGCGGTCGCTGTAGACAGGTTTGTCTGTATACATTTATGCATGTTAGTTTTCAAAAGGAATCATGCAAAAGGCTGCCTGTAGTTATTCAATATTAAGTTGAATTGAATCATAAATTTAATTAACATTTTACGTTGAAAATGAAGAAGTTGGGGTTTACTATAACATACAATTTGATAGTTCATCCATGCACACAAATGCTACTTGGTCAATTTCAACAAGAACAAAAATAGAAATCTAATTTCAAATCTCTCTTCCACATATTACAGAGGCACATTGTGCTACAATCGTTATATCCTCATTGTCTTGAACTCCTCAGCTTCTTCTGTTTCATTGCAAAACAAAGAAATTGAATAATAACATTAAACAAACACAAACAAACAAGACAAATAAACACATTGGCCTATTAATCTTAGGAAGAAAAAACATAACCTTAATCAAAGCAAATGAGTCTGAATCCTTATAAAAAAAACATGTAGTACGATAAATATACATAACTAGAAAAGAGGTTTTATAAAATGTTTTGAACAATATAGCATCAACACAGTTACACAAAATTTAGAACAAAAATCAAGTAAAAGAATCAATTTTACCAGAAGAGCAAAGTTAGAGTATCCTGCAATAAATCCATTATATTTCAGAAATACTGTATTTAATACAAATACCTTTTAAAAAGCTTCTCGTATCGTGCCTTGTATGCTTTTCAATGATGCACAAGCAGTCCACTCCTTAGTGTAGCATGTAGATTAACAACAAATAATCCCTATTTGAGTCCTATTCAACTTGCTAAGCCTTCTGGAAAACAGGCTGACCTGGTCCTGCTAATATATTTGTCTATAGTCAGTCAGTAGACTATAAATAAGTAAAAGCCACCCGATCATAACAACTGCGAGAGGCCCTGTGTTTGTTGAACAGATCTGCTCTGCTCAGCGATCCCTGGTAGGGTAATTCAGGTTTATGAGATAGCAGGGTTTAAATGAATAAACAAAATCAATTGCAATACACACTGAGCTGCCCAAAATGGGGAATTGGGAAAATAAGGGGAAATCCCTTTTCTGAAGGACGCGCGCGCGCGCTCGCTTCATACGTACATCTCATGTAGATCAACGACTACTTACTATAGCTCTAGGCATTTTCAGAAATTGTAGGGCCTATAAAGCCTATATTTTACTTCTATATGCAGGAAAGTATCACATAAATTGTAACATTTATCCGTGGAATCAATCACGTTAATCAATCCAACCCAATTAACGTAGAAATATTAGGGACTGCTTTTGCGAATTTTACATCATTCGTTCAACTTCCTCTTCCAATTCGCCGAAATTCACATGCATCCGTGTAGCTATATCGTACAACTGAGCCGTACCTCCCCGACAGATGTGGCGCAAAGCCTGTACTGTAGGCTGTAGCAACATTTGTTGTATAACTGGCGCCGACGTGGACAAACATAATTTATAAAAAATACCACCACCAATATCTTAATGCCACTTCACTGAGTGGATTCCAATGCACGAGACAGAAGGAAACTGATTCTCTCACTTACTTACCTTAAAGATAATTTCGTTGAGTACAGTTTGTACTCATCCTGGCCTACTCGGTCTAACGAGAGACATCTAAAACAGTTTACACTGCATTTCCACGCACTGCATACTCTCTATCTAGCACTCGACCGTACACTCGCGCGCTCCACGTTAATTCGCGACTCGGCGGTACGGTGCGCGCTCGACTGGTTTACATTTCGAGTCATGATGAAACTTGAGGAAAAGTGAACAAAAATTCGTTTTTTTGTTTTTTTTTAAATATAAAGATCATTCATCTTTATATCGTAAAATTTAAAAAATTATAAAATTGGGCGCAGGACTGCACAATCTGCACACTTGACTCGGTTGAATAAAAACTAAAATAATAATCAGTATTATTTGTAAATAGAATGAAAAAAAATATTAAAAAAATAAAGAGAGAAACAGAAAAGGGAAGAACAAAGCAAAAATATCATCCTTATAAATTGAAGAGTTATGGCCCCTAATTACTAGTCTAGTATTTGGGGGCCATAGAGTTATTTGAATCGGGGGTTTAAACTGAAAATGTCTTTCATTGGTGGACTCAGGGGGGCACAGGGGGCACGTGCCCCCCCCCCCCCGTTTAAAGGGGGGAGGGGGAAAGAAAGAAAAGGGAAGAGAGAAAGAAGAAGAAAAGAGGGAGGACAGAAAAGGGGAGAGGAGAAAAGGGAGGGGGGCAGGAAGAAAGGGGAAGAGAGAGGAGAGAAAAGTTGGAAAAAGAAAAAAGGGGGAAAGACGAATGTGGGAAAAGGGGGGGAAGGAGAATAATAAGAAGGGAAAAGAAAGAAAGGGGGATTATATTATAAAAAGGTGTTTTCTCCGGGAAAGGGGCGGGGAAACGTAATTTTGCATTGTGGACGATATGGGGTCCCTATTGCCAGGCGTGTAGCCCCCCCCCCCCCAAAAAAAAGAGATGGAAAAGAGGGGTGAAAGAGAGAATTTGTGTGAGTTAAAGGAGAAAGGAAACAAATGAAAGAGAATTAAACAACGATAAAAGAGGTGCGGGAGCATGAGGAATAGCATTTCTCTTAACCCTAAAAAGGTCGGGCTATTTGAGGTTTTAATACGGCTGGGGGGAGGCATCATGCCCCCCCCCCCCCCCTAAGATCTATAAAAACAACTATGCCTCGAATATTAAAGCAGTCATTATAACTTTTATATACCGAAAAGGGTCATAGAATACATGTGCGACTTACCAATCATGGTAATCAAGTTTGTTTACGCTATCGAGACCTAGTCAAGGGTGTCTGATCCAGGCGCGGATCCAGGATTTCCTAGGGGGGGGGGGGGGGCAAATTTGAAATTATGCATATAGCTCCGTTTAGTCTCATTTCACAACGCCCCCTGTCGTCAGAGTCAGCAGCCATACCTGTTAGTTAGCCTATGGAATTGTACCCCAAAAAAGTCGTTAGCAAAATCATTGATATTCATGAACGGTCAGACAATACAGCCTTTTAGTACGTAACGTATAGTGAATGGGAATGGGCGATGATCCGTCCAGGAGGTAGAGGTCAGTGGTTTTTGCTGGCAATGTTCACGCGAGCGAAAATGAGACAATCGGAGCAATATGGCGAACCAAAATATTGGTAGGTTTTTTTTTTTTTTTTTTTTTTTTTTTTTTTTTTTGGGGGGGGGGGGGGGACAACAACAACAAATCGCCATCACCCCACTCTTACATGCAGGCCCGCTGAACGTTTCTCGGCGGGGGTCAAGGCGTGGAGCCCCCAGGGAGCGAATCCCCAGAGGCTCAGGGGTCTTATACATTAGATAACCGTTAGATGGGCATATTTTGATACGTTATTTGTGACACTGGCAGGTCACAAATTGGCGTTGTGTCTAGGGGGCATAGCCCCCAAAAGTTCAGGGTTTTTATACATTAAATTATCATCAGATAAGCATATTTTTATACCTTATTTGTGACACTGGCAGCTCACAAATTGGTGTTGGGTCCGGGGGCGGAGCCCCTAGAAGCTCAGGGGTTTTGAGCAATAAATGACGGTCAGATGAGCATATTTTGATACCTTATTTGTGACACTGGCAGGTCACGAATTGGCGTGGGGTCCAGGGGGTGGAACCCCCATAAGCTCAGGGGTTTGGGGCAATAAATTAGGGTCAGATGAGCATATTTTGATACCTTATTTGTGACACTGGCAGGTCACGAATTGGCGTGGGGTTCAGGGGGCAGAGAACCCCGGAAGCCCAGAGGTGTTAGGCAATAGATTACGGTCAGATGAGCATCTAGGGGCCCGACTTAGGGCAATGGTTGTGTTTAGGGGGCAGAGCCCGGGAAGCTCAAGGCTTTACGCATTTAATAAGCGAGTTCATAAATAGCTCTGGAACGCATGACCCAAAAATATCCACAGATCTTAGACACGATGGATACTTCCCATAATGTGCATTTTACAATAATCACTGCCGAAGTGATTGAGGTGCTTCATGAATACCTTTTGTTTGCCTCTTGAGAAGAATGCTTCCACCTGTGTATCAGATTAATGTACTGTTGGTCAGGGGCGTCTTCAAAGGGGGGGTGCGACACCCCCCCCCCCCCACCTGTCAGGATATTGTCGGTAAAATTGCGATGCCGTCGGGAAAAGAAAAAAGGGGGAGGGAACCAAGAGTGGGAAAGGGAAAGAAAAGAAAAAAAGAAAAGGAAAAGAAAAGAAAGAAAGGAAAAGAAAGGAAAGAAAGGAGAGAAAAGAGAAGAAAGAAAGGGAAAAAAAGAAAAAGAGGGAGGAGAGGAAAGAAAGGAAAAGAAAGAAAAGAAAAAAACAGAAAAGGGAAACAAAAGAAACGGGGGATGAAAGAGAGGAGAGAGAGGGAAGGTAAGGGCCTGAGAGAGGAGGAGTGGGTGTAAAAGAGAGAGGGGGTTGTTGGGTGGAGTCGTCTCGTCGAGGGAGCAAGAAAGACACGGGTAAATATGTTGCTGTGTCGGATCAGATGTGTCGGTATTCAGGGGCGGATGTAGCTTTTTGCTAAGGGGGGGTTGACCAATAATGACGATGCGGAGCATCGTCCACGAGCCGCGAAGCGGCGAGCCGATTTTTTTTGGGGTGTTTATTTGAACCCCGTAAGTGATGTTTTCCTGGCATCTATTAACACAATGGAGACCATAAAAAGCAGTGCATGAACACGTCCGTATTACACCCCCATGTATGGTAATTTACCCTGTATGCCAACTTTTTTGCATGATTCAAACATACCTTCCAGTAAAAAAAGATGCGAGACTGGATTGCCGCAACTTCTTTGCCCTGTTTGCTTCCATATTGCTTGTCACTACACTCAGACCAGACTGATAAAAAAGTGAGCAACTTGAACAAGTAATCCAGGAAATGAGCAGCCCAGCTCAGCGTGCGTTGCCAGGTTAAATCTTCACAAAATCCCCACCCAAACGACACTTAAAATATCCCCAAAGTTGCCAAATTTTGACAGAAAATCCCCAAATTCGTTTTTCATAAAACTCAATATTATTTTCATTCCCAAATATTTATTTTTCATCCCCAAAGACTTCAACTATCCCCCAATTTTTTTTTTTTTTTTTAATGTGGGGATTTTGGGGATGAGAATCGGCAACGCTGGCCTAGCTTGTCACTTCGGCGGTGGCCCGTGTCCTCAAAAAAGCTGATGGGGGGGGGGGGGGGGGGCAAGGGACTCTGTGACATTTGTTCGCCCAACCCCCCCCCCCCCCTCCCCCCAAAAAGAAATAATAATAATAATAATAATAATAATAAATGAAATAAATACATAGAAATAGAATAAAATAAAATTACAAGTTTAAAAAAAAAGATAAGATTTAAAAAAATGGTCCCCGGATTTTTTTTTTGGGGGGGTTGCAACCCCCCAACACCCCATCTAGATCCGCTTCTGGTATTCTTGCTCGATCCTCGTGTACCATATCATTGCAGAAGTTTAAAGTCGGTGAAATGTATATTGTCGGTCGGCCGACAAGTTTTTTTCCCTACGAAGTGTGACTTTTTATCCGCTGTGACGACTTAGAGAGTAAATATATCTACAATACTTGTATTTTCTCGAAGTTTCACTTTCCTATAATATCAGCTAAAGAAATCAGAGATTTAACATTTTCGTGGAAACTAAATTCAAACAAGGATTAAGAGTCAACAACGGTACGACGAATCGTCTTCCTTTCTCTGTATTTGAACGAAACGCCCAAAATTCCGCGCTTCGTTCGGGAGGGGAAACTACATTTAGACGAATCGAGAACGAAACAACGAATTGTCTTCTTTCTCTAATAATTTAAGGAAAAGTAAAAGCTTCGCGTGAGAGGGGGAAACTGAATTCAGATAAATAGGGCTTAATAAGAGTCGAAAACGGTGCAACGAATCGTCTTCCTTTCTATAATAACTAAATGAAATGTCAAAACTTCAGCGCATCGCGCGGGAGGGGGAAACTTCATCCAGACAAGGATTACGAGTCGAGC